ATTAAAAAAAAAAAAAAAAAAAAATCCTTCACTTCATACCTACTTGTCCCCTCTACAATGGCATAAGCTCAGGAATATTTTTTGAATATATTTAATGAGTAACCACTGATAATCTCTGTGACTTTTCTGTTTTGCAATGAGGCAGACACTGGCATTTACAAATGTAAGACAACTCTGAAGTCAGCTCTGAAGCAGACCCACTGATTCTGCTTTGACAGTGAATTAGGCCCGGCTCCAAATCCCCAGCCTCATCAGTGCTCTCTGCACACTCTTCCCTTCATTCATGATGCACCTATGTTCAGACCACGAGACAACTATCCAGCCACATAAAAGCAGCCTACAAACTCACAGCTACTCAGACTAGAGATCCTTTTAGTGCCACTGCCTTCTCTGAGACTGGTTTTAAGGCTCCACTCCTTTACAGCTCTGGAGTATAACCATGGGTATCCCTCAATTTGAAGTACATTATGAAAGGGGGAAAATAAAAACAAGAAGAAAGAAAAAAAGAAAGAACTTACTTACACATGAGAAATATCCAAAGAATACTGCCCATTCCATGGCTGGTGTAATAAGAAGGCTTTCAGAGCAAGGGAGGCCCTTGGAACAAGGAGATATGGACACCACACAGGCTCTATAAAAGAAAAAACATTTTATTTAATTTATTCTTTTGCTACCGGGGATCAAACTCGGGTCCTTGCACTTGGGAGGCAGGGGAGGCAGGTGGCGGAACCTTTGAGCTAAATCCCTGGCCCAAGAAAAAACATTTTTTAAAAATCAAATTTTATACTACAATGAACCTCAGCTATAGACTATTTACAGAGAAGTTAGCAGAGAACAATGCATAACTCTGGTGCAACTGGGAGGTGTGTTCAATGTACTCACTGCCTTGGAAACAAGGTAAGAACAGGGAGATCCTCTGTGCTCAAGTCTGGTCAGTACAGACTCTGTCTCCTTCTCTCTTTTTTTTTTTTTGGTTTTTTGAGACACGGTCTTGCTGTTAGTTCAGGCTGGACCTGAACTCACTATGTAGCCCAGGCTGGCCTCAAACTACAGCAATCCTGCAGCCTCAGCCTCCCTAGTGCTGAGACTACAGGTGTGAGCCACCATGCCCCCGGCTCTGTTCCCTTGAAATTTAAGTGTTCTGTGTAGTATAAAACTGCTACTACTTGAATGAAAGAATTAATGTAGTGATTCAACAGACACCAATACAGCTCATTATTTAAAAATATTAAATATAATTTTATTTACCTGTATCTCTTAAATCACTTGATATCTATGCTTTTCTGAGACTATTAAACTAACATGGCTTAGCAACTTCACCCACCCAAATCTCAAAACAATCAGGATACTGTAATCACCAATTATGCTTTGACTGGTCATGTAACAAGTTATGGGAAACAAAATTCATGACATTAAGACATACTTTTCAATGATATATTGGTTGCAAAAGATAGAAGGCTCATTTTAAAAAGGCAGCAGCTACATCATTCAGAGAAGGATCAAAAGGGGCCACTTCCCCAGCCTGAGGTGGGAATGACTAACGCCTGCAGGTACAGTGAGTAAGTGTCTCAGCAGTAATAAACTCTCAAGCTTTAACATATACACTACGGGGTCATAACTCCCATGTCTTACTGCTGTACAGCTTGAACCAATGGTGGTACATGCCGGACTGTATCACTGGGCGACTTTTTATTAATTTTACAAGTAAAAAGACCGATAAAAGTGATAGATCCATTGTACCACCAGTGGTACAAGCCGCTCAATGGAACAGTCACGCATGAACCAGCGGTGGTTCAAGCCAGCAGAAACATGTTATTTCTTAAATTCAGATTCTTGGAAAATAAGACTGAAGTGAACAAGCAGCAGCTCTTACTCTAAAAGAGAGCAGCTTGTGACAAAACACTGGCTTCAGAGCATCCTTTCATGAGAACCCCATACCAGTTAACTCCTGTTCATCCATCCTAAAGCATGTAGACTTCATAGACATCTCTAGGACCCTGATGCACCCATCATCAGATGCCAAGATCACTTTATCTGAAGTGCACCAGTCCACATCCAAGATCCGAAAGGTTACATTTCTTCCACTTCTTAGACTGCTCACCATCTGAACCTGCAACAATGAATTTTGTCATCACTGTGAGAAAGAAAAGGAAGATGTTTATCTCTCACTTTGGATTAAGTGGTCACAGGACAGTGTGCTGTGGCAAAGGCCCAAAGCACGTATAGAACTGCACTGCCTCTGAAAGCCTATTTTCCACAGGCAAATTGTGTTCTAAAGGTCTCAATCACAGCAATAACACTAGAGAACCAATGAATCACCTGCGGAGCTGTCGCCTTTGGAACAGATATACTGTAAAAGTAAAATCTTTTAAAACAAAATAATTTGTTATAAGAAGCTCAATGAACTTAACAGTTTATTTTTCTTATTATTTTGCAGTACAAAGTGATGACATTCATTGTGGAGAGCTGGCACATGTACATAACACATGTAAATTATTTTTACGTCCTCTGCCCCTTCCTTCCCTGCTGCTCTCTCTGCTTCTTGGTCCTATTATAAAGTTTTCATTTTCAAATCAGGAAGAAGGGAAAAAACAAAACCAGTTTCTGAGACCAGCAGCCTCACCCGTGCCTCAGCCTCACAGTGCTGGGCCTACCTCTTTAGTATCCCACACTTCAGCGCCATCATTGTACATCGCTATTAGTTTTTGGTTTCCTTTGCCAGGAGCAAAACGAATCTTCCTCACCCAACTCCTATGTGTAGGTATTCCTCTGAGGACAAACAAAAACAAAAACACCAGTATTAGGCAGAAGGGAACGTAGTGAGCAGGAACTAGGTCCAACATCTCTGCCTAGTTCTGTTTCTGATAAAGTCTGATGATGGGACAACCTCTTTACATTCTGGAGTAAGGGCCACATCTGACAGAGGGTCCTGCCTTTTTACATGCACTAGAGTAACATCCAGGGTTTCTGCATGGGCCCCTTGCAGGTAAGGTCTACTGAAAAGGGTCCAGAACTTGGCTCAACTCCGTTCCTTCCAAATCAAGTGATTCGGGACTAAAGGCTCAAAGCTGCATTTGGCCATATTTACTGGTCTTGCTTACAAATCATAAGCCTCCAATCATTTTGTTAAACAAAAACTTCATTGGTAGATGAACAGTCATACCTGGATACTCTGGCTCTCAAGTCCCAAAAATTTAAGTTTCCATCTATATCTCCAAGCACTAATGTGTCACCTTTCCAAGCAATGCAGGTAATACTACCCATACTTCCCTGGAAAACAACAGTAACAAGAACGCACATAAATTTCACTACTGATGATTCATCAGAATAGAGGAATATTTTTATATAATGGTCACAATAAAATAAAAAAATATTTAATAAAGCTTAATTATAAATATTTTACTTTGATATGAATGCCATTAAATTCTAAAATATAGACTTCAGAAACTAATAGCTATACAGTATATCACTTTCAATTATGAAGAAATAAGAGACTTCAGTTTAATAGACTGAACTAGGTTATGAGAGGTATTTTTTTGAGACAGGGTCTCCCTCTGTAGTTCAGGCTGACCCTGAACTCACTATGTAGCCCAGGCTGGCCTCAAATTCACAGCAATCCTCTTATCTCAGCCTCCCAAGTGCTGGGATTCCAGGTGTGTGCTACCATGCCTGTTTCAGAGCTTTAGAGAAGGGATGTATTTTAAGGAAGAAATGTCTTGGAAAAAAGAAAACTAAAAGAAGGAAAACAAACAAACAAACAAAAGGACAAGAAATTCTTTTCAGAGAGCTAACTTACCTCACACCATAAAAGGATAAAGGAAACCCAATTAGTTCCAGAACCAACTGCTGTAATTTTTCTATTGAAAAAGATGACCTAGAGTTTTACTGATCTCTTCTGCAAACTTCTGGAGTAATGAAGGTGAAAATATATGGTTTATTAAAGACTACAGTTTGGAAATACAAAAAGCTCTGCAAAGAAGTTACATATAGAAACAGAACTGTAAGAATGAGATATTATTGTAATAAATCCAAAGTGGAGGAAGAGAGTCTCATCTCCAGCAGATAAACAGAGAGGTGTGCCACTGAGCCCTCACAGCCCAGGCTCTGGAGTCACACAAGGGCTGAGGCCCAGCTTTGCAACTTAGACTGGTATGGGACTTGGGGCACATTTATTTCACCTTTCTGTGCCTTGTATTTATCATTAATGGAGTAAGATAAGCTTATGAAATGAGGAGTTGGAATTATGGTCAATAAATCTATTAAGGTACAGGCTATAAAGCAGTGCCTGCCACAATGCAAAAATTCACTACAATGTTAGTTATTAAATAATATCAGCGCTCAATTACTTTTTCTATTTATTACAAAAAATCTCTTTTTTTTTCATTTATGGCACAAATTATAAAAATATATGTGGCATTCACGGTTAAGAGTAGGAAAAGTATCAATCATTGACAAACGGACACTATTAACAGACTGGCACCCATATCAAATATTGCAGAATCCTAGCAGCAAGTCCCCCCAAAAAGAAAAAGTGAATTAAAATATCACTACTATAATCAATTTAATAAAAAATTTAGTTATACTAAATGAAATTCTATAATATGAAACAATACTCTCCGATTTTATTTCTATTTTCCTAACCATACTAATAGAATGTTTCAGAATTTGCTTTAATAGCAAATAATTTAGTTTTCAGATTTTACTTTCAAATTTTAAATCTCACTTAACTTTGAAAAACTAGAGTATTAGTTTATTTGTCTAAAAATCATTGTTACTAGCTCAGACCTACATTAACACAACTGCAGAGAAGCAGACTTCCCACTTAAGAGAGCTGATGGAATGCAAGCCATGAGGAGATACCAAGGTGCTCCCAGAGGGTGTGGTGCGCAAACACTGTGTGGCTTTAAATAGTCACAAGAGAACCAAAGCAAAAGGAGATGTCAGCAGAGTGTACTAGTCACATACAGAGCATGTGCTCCCTGCATTTAAGACAGGACATTCGGAAAGTCAGAAGTAAGGCTGCCACAAGTCAGACACACTCTCATTTGCTCCAGTTTCCTAAAAATAGCAAGCAACTACATATTCTCCACATACACACAATTTAAAATATATCAAATTTTCTCCTTTCTTTTACCATTTTTGTATTCTTTACAATTTGGGGGCCAAAATCCAGAGGGAGACTTTCAACTCAAAACAGATGTTTAATACTTTTTACATCTGGGAGAAGTGTAAGATAAATATTGGATTAAAATAAGCAAAACCTCTACCTACATTTTACATTAGTCACTGGAAAACATTAATTCCGAAAAGCAAAAATAATAACCAAAACAATTTCTCACACACTACACAGATGTTAATTCCCTTTCCCCAAAAGTAATATCTTCTAAAATATGTACTAATTTCACTGGAGGGCTGGATCCTCACTAAGCTGGTCATTTCTGCACAGAGCTATATCTAGTGGAGGAAAAAATACCTGGCAGAACAGACTTGGTATATCCTGACTTCAGGCCTCCACAAAGAGATAAAAGTCTTAAAAGCCATGTGGTACAATTACCATCCTGAAAAGAGCATTTATAAAAAGAAACATTCGTACGTCTCATGTTTAAAAGTTTAAAACCTACTTGGGGGTAGCTGGGGAAACTGGCATCTCACGAATTATCTGGTCCAGATAATTTCTACTTTCAATTTTAAGTATGTAGTAATGAAAAAGCTAAGACTGGTCTGTGTGTGTGACACTGAAAGAATCAAGATGGGTCTTCTTTGGGGCTTTGAAAGAGGAACTGCCACGTAAAGGGTGCTATGAAAGCAGACAGTTTCCAAAGAATTCAGTGTTACACTGAATTTGTATGTCTGAACTCTAAAGAAGTTGTTCTCTCTACATATTTAAATTTCTTTCCAATTATAACTACTAAACATCAAACTTCTACATTTACATTCTTATTTTCATCCTATCAAAATTCTGAAAATGTCTTGCAATACTAGATACTACTGTCTCAGATGTGATTTATCATATAATAGTAAAAATTAAATTACGTGAAAAGTTCTCTCACTTGTTACCTCCAATATTTGGGGGAAGAATGCCCTCAATTTTTCTATAGCTATTAGTATAGAAGGTTTGTTAGCCATTCTCTAAGAGAGCCTCATTAATTCTTCCTTTTTTGATATTCACAGCCCTTGGCAGTCACCTCCCACAAGGATTAGAGCTGATGTGAAAACCAATACCACACTGACAAGATGAGGGAGTGTGACTTCTGTTAACTAAGTTATTTAAGACACCAGTTTCCTTCTTGCTTTCTTTTGAATCATTCGCTCTGGGGGAAGCCAGCTACCAAGTCCTGAAAAGACTCAAGCAGTCTGGGTCAGGGATTTAGCTCAGTGGTTCTGTCACCTGCCTCACAAGTGCAAAGACCTGAGTTTGATCCCTGGTTAAAAAAAAAAAAAAAAAAAAAAAAAAAAAAGACTCAAGCAGTCCTGTGGAAAGGGCCCCAGGAGGAAGAACCAAGGCTTCTCCACACAGTCAGCATAAGCTCAGAGCACATGTGCCTGCCCCTTTTACCTTAAATGACTCCTGCAGCCAATGCCTGGACTGCAACATGTGACCCTGAGCCTTGTGCGGCGGTTGGGGCTTGGCCATCCACTAGATCACTCGCTTTTTAGATGGCAATTTTAAATAAATACCGGTATTTTTAAAAACCCTCTCATACCTCCATTTAACTATTTTCTTAATCCACCTATTAAACACAATCTGTGACACACATTGATGCAAATCATTAACCAATGTAACCTTACTTAAGGGATTCCACAAAACCAAAAAAAGGGACATGGATGAAGCAGTAAACATTCATACTGTTATATCTACAACCTGATTCTGTTACCCAAAAATACCATTCTGTAAGTCAAATCTTTCAGGGAAATACTTGAAATGGGAAAAGACAGATAGTGAAGTCAGAGAGATTTTAAATTTCGAATGCCATTCCACACACAACAGAGCCAGGGAACCTTGAGAAAGTTACTTATTCTCCTTTGTGGACTATCATGGGGATAAACATGAGTAGTAACAAAGTAAATGTTTAATCAAAATAATTGTAATACTATTCTCTAGCAGTAAGGGGCATGCTTATTTAGTGATAATGCCTCCTTAAATAGCAAAAGTTATTTATATTAAGCTTTTCTGAAGAAGTTTTCCAACTTCACTATGCTTTCCCTGGGTATGGAAGAACAAAATTCTTGATCAGGGAGATTTAACCAAAGGTCAGACTCACATCTGGTGGGATCCGAGCACTATCTTTCACGGAGTTTCCTTCAACAGTGAGATGATAAACTTGGCCATCATTGTCTGTAAATATAAAATGCTCCCGAGCAGAGATGTTCTGACTGAGTTCAGACTTACTTTCTGCCTCCTGCAATAAGCTTTGGGATACAGAAAAATTAAATAAAAATGTTCTTTTCCCTAGAGTGACACCCATAATTAATTAACCCACCCACAGGATAGATGCATTAACAGGAAGTCCAAAACCATTTTGGAAAGTTTAAAATGAATCTTGCCCAGTTAATAATGTAAAAACATAAATAACTCCCAAGCAATCATAAATGGGAGGAAGTTTATCTGGTATGGTGGGAGGGATGTAAACAAGATTTTTTGCTGCAGAACTGAACACAGACAGGAATCACACTGATTTACTATTGTGGCTGAAGCTTTTTATTTGTAAACTGGTATGGCTGGGTATAGAACATAAATTTAGAATTCCCAAAACATTTCTCTGCTGTGCACAAGTGATAATATGAACTTTGTTTATCCTATGTTCATGTTTTATTTCTTATTTATTCATTTATTTTTGGTTTTTGGTTTATTTTTTGAGACAGGGCCTCACTATGTATTTGAGACTGGCCTGGAACTCACTATGTAGCCCAGGCTGGTCTCGAACTCACAGCTATCCTCCTGCCTCAGCCTCCCAAGTGCTGGGATTACAGAAGTGTGCCACCAAGCCCAGCTTATGTTCGTGTTTTAGAAGCTGAAGTGAATGGGACAGAAAGGCATTTCACTGATCATATTCACTGATGGATGCCGATGAGTGGACAGTACTGCACGTGAGTACACCAACCAATACGATCAACTTCAGTAATCTGGGTATGTACTGAAACATGAAACAAAGGACTGTATTTTCAAAAGCAGTGTCCAACTTTCAAAAGAAGATGCCTTTGGATGACACTTGTCAAATTCTCAGCTATGATACTGATAATACAAATGATACTGGCAGGAACAGCGAACTCTACCTGATCACAGATGACTCAGCGATGCTCAGCTCCGTGTCTGAAACCACAGTCTGGCGGGCCATGGCCTCTCGGGTAGCAAGCTGTTTCTTTCTCAGGCTCTTCAAGTTGTGAGACGGCGACCACTCCTGTGAAGCACACAGACAAACCTAGAAGTGCTAGGGTTCCTTTTTTCAACACATCCTTCCAGAACAGAAGGGCAGATTCACCAACGCCCAGCACCACTTAGTGTTATTGCACATGAATTGTTCAGATTTTATCTAATTATAGAAAGGCTAAATGAATGTCCTTTAATTATACCTTAAGGAAAAAAAAATTAATGGAAAACTCACAAGAGGAAGTGTTGATGCTTTTTTTCTTTTTTAAACAAACTGAAAAGAGTGAATTCAATTCCTATACCTTCTGTTCCCCATCTCTTGTCTTACCTTTTACCTACATGGGGAAAGAGAATCATGTTCCTCTAATCAGGAAGCATTATCAGATTTAGATCCACCTCAAACCATTTATTCCTTTATATTTAAACCTATTCCAATGTATTGAAGCCACTGTTGGGTTAATAATCCAATCTTTTTCATGCAGAAGTTATAGTTATTACATGTACTTTAAATTTATGTTAAGTAGTCCTGGGCTTCTGTATCATCCTGTTTCTTTTTATGCTGATTGTTTTTAATATATTTTAAGTCCTCTCCCTATTGTCTGTGCAAGGTAAGTAACACTCCACACATGTATTCAACAATTTTTTTTTTTTTTTGTACCGGGGATCAAACTCGGGTCCTTGCGCTTGCAAGGCAGGTGCCAGAACCACTAAGCTAAATCCCCAGCCCTGTATTCAACAATTTTTAATTTGTCCTCTCAGCAAAGGATATTCAGATTCCTCAGAACTCAATCATCACAAATAACACTGCAGTAAAATTCCTCACAAATGTTCCTTCGTGGCCAAGAGCTCAGCAGCTTCAGCCCAAAGGATGTCTGTGTTTCTCCAAATCCTCAGTGCAGGATTCTCTACCTAACATTCTATCCACTCTTGATGCTATCTATTTCCCCAATTTTTCTTCGTCTAAAAGATATATGATGTTTATTTCACTTTGTATAACTCTAAAGCTGATGAGGTAAGCACTTTTATATGCTTGTTGACCTTTCTGGATTCTCTGTCATTCACTAAAGCTCACATATTTTGTTCATTTTCCCATTGGTGTTCCTAGTTTCACTGTTATTTTGAAGGAGTGCCTTGCTATTTTTTAGGTATTGGAAGATTTATATGACAATAACACCCTCCATCAAATATAAATCATTCATTGTAATATAAACAATTTTATTTTCTTGGTTTGAGCTTCTGACGTCCATTTTTGCACATAGGTCACAAAAATATTAGGCTGTATTAAATTTTATAGCTTTCTTTTTTTACATGTTTGTCTTTAACCCCATAGAGACCAATTTTTGTAAATGGTACTAAAGTATTTTTTTCCATCAGGTGAAACATGTCTCCCAATATTGCCTCCTAAAAAGTCTGTCCTATTGATTTGTGTTGCTTTCCTAAATATTCATGATCTGTTTATGAACTCTTTATTATATTAGCCCATTTTCTATTTTTGTGTCAATACAACACTAATATTATTTCCGTAGTATGTAATATGTCCTAATATCAGTAGTGTAAGCCAGCCCCAATCTCTCCTGCACCTAGCACATTTACTCCTCTTTTTTCAAGAGTGACTTAGCTATGTAGGGCCTTTCTTCTTTTATAAACATCTTAGAATATGTCTATCATGTTCCTCAAAGTACTCAAATGAAATTTTAGCAATAATTGCACTAATATCAAAATAACCCACTGAGAGTTATTTCCATTTATTCAAATCACCTTTTTAATAAGAAAACATAGGGCAGCAATGTCAAGTTAAAAAAGGACAATTTTTAAAGAAAAACATTTACTATATACATATATACTAAGATCATCTAGTTCTTTTTTTTTTTGTTTTGTTTTTTTTGAGACAGGTTCACTATGTAGTTGAGACTGACCTGGAACTCACTATGTAGCCCAGGCTGGTCTCGAACTCACAATGATCCTCCTGTCTCAGGCTCCCGAGTGCTGGGATTAAAGGTGTGTGCCACCACGCCTGGCTAAGATCATCTAGTTCTTAAACCATAACTTACCAAAGCAGTTATTGTAGGAAAGTTTTTGGACATTTCTCTAAGAAGAGTACAAGTCCTAACATCCCATAATTCCAGGGGTTTATCTTTGAAAACAACTGCCAAATATTGCCTAAAATAAACAAAAAATAGAAATAAACAAAATTACTAAGCAAGCCCATTTTTTGCAAAAATATTATCAAGAATAGTATAAATAAAACACTCAGGAAATTAAAAAAACTCAGGTGACACGTTCCAACCAAAGACAACTTAAACTACCACTCAGGCCCCATGATTAATACTCATAAAAACACATAGCTTTCAGGTAAACTTTGAAAGTACATACAGATTAAATCAGATGAAATTGGTTAAAAGAGTGACCTGGGTTCCCAATCCTGGTGCCACAATAATTTAACTCTCCTGAGGCTCAATTTCCCCTCTCTGACATGCAAATACTATCATTTATATCAATGAACTGGTATGCAGATTACGGCAACAATTAAAAAGTAGGCAGATTTTCTAACACCCTACCACAGTAAGTATACAACAAATGCTATTTTTAACTCACTCTCTGTCAAGCCTGGAAATACATAATGAATCAATAAATGCAATTCAAGAAAGTGGAATTGAGCACTAATACCTCAGTAACTGGTGAGGAACTCAAACAATATTCATAAGCATTGGCTAACATCAAGAAAACAAAACAGAACAAGAAAGTTCCAGGACTCAATATATTAAAGGACTTAGATGCTTCTGCTCAGGACAACATCTGCCACTTGATAATCATGGGACTTAAGAAAAAATATGTACCCTTTTTAAATTTTACTCCATGTTGAAAATGGTATTAATACCAGCCATGTCTACCTCACAAAATGCTGGATTAAATTTAAAGGATAAGGACAGCACACACTATGACAGATTATACAAGTATAATGTGCTATACTATTTATTATATCTCATATGAATAAAGGCATCTATGTAAAGTAAAATATATTAAATGCTATAAAGATTCACTATGAAAAAGATTAATTTTAACAACAGAGAAATGAAATTCCAGACAGAATTACAGATGTGACAAATGACAAAACACAGAAAAGGACATAATGCACTGCAGACTATGCTTCCTTAAATATACAGTATGTGGGAACAATCATAAAAAAGAGATTAAAATGTAAATTTTGGATCACATTATAAAGACCTCAAATACTATGCTAGGCTATGCAGGGGTTTATTCCACAGAAAACAATGAATCATACTAAAAGTTTTGAAGCAGGGGATACTGAGATCAGTTGTTTTAGATGTATGAATTCAGCAGGAATGTGCAGAGTTGCGACTGAAAACAGAAGAGAATGGAGTCTCATTAGACTTCAAAGAACTCTTGTTTATGTGAATTACAGCAAATGAGTAAACTAAAAAACTTTATTCTTTTAAAATTAAAACACAGAAAATATAAAAAAAGTATCAAGATGATAGATTTTAAACACAAGCCATACTAATACATTATATCAATAATTTCAACACTTCAATGAGGAGACTGAAATTATGAGACTGAAACCAAGAAAATGATACAGCTCAATTAAAAGTATAAAAATGGAAAATATATATGATGCAAGTACTAACCAAAAGAAAGCTGAAGTGACTACACTAGTATTAGATAAATCAGACATTTCCAAAGAACAGTAACAAAGAGATATTTCACAATAGTAAAGAAATCAATGAATTGAAAGGACATAACTAACAATCCTAAATATGTATGTACCTAATAGCAGAACTGCAAAATACCCAGAGCAAGAACTTGAGTTTCTCAAAAGCAAAATATATAAATTAACAACCAAATCAGATATTAAACATCATCTCTCAGTAATTCACACAATACATAAGCAGAAAATCAGTAAGTATATAAAACACTCCAATAACAGTATCAATCAACTAGAATTGACAGTTATGGAACATTCTAATCAACACCAGGAGAATACCCAACCGCTCAAGTGAACACAAAACATTTACTATGATAGAATATCTTCTGTGTAAAAAAACAGATCACATGAAATTTTAAAGTCTAAACTAATGTAAAACACACTCTCTAGTCAAACAAAAACTAGAAAATAACAGATGTATCTGGAAAACACTAAATAGTTAAAGAATATACCTACAAATACCTTGCGGAAATATTAAAATATTATGAATTAAAATGAAAACACCATATCAAAAATCATAGGTTACAGGAAAAATACTTCTATAGCATTAAATGTTTATATTAAATTCCTAGGATTTAAGATCCCAGAGCAAAGCAAATACATCAGCCCTTACTACTTATATTCAACATTTACTAGTTATATTCAGCATAGCAAAGCAAGAAATAAAGAACATACATATATGAAAGTAAATTCATTAGTACATAACAAGATCATCTATAGAGAAAATCCTAAAGGATTGACAAAATTGCTATTAGAATAATTAAGTTTTACATGGTCACAGGTACAAGGCCAATATAAAAAATTAACTGTATTTCAGTAAACAAATTATGAATAACTGGAAAGTGACATTGAAAAAAGAAAAAAAATCAATTTTTAATGGCATCAAAATACACAAAAACAATTAACATGATTGTTATGGCATATATCTACATGTCTCCTCAAAGCCCCATACAGTGATAGGTGGGGCTCTTTCAGAGGTGTCTGGATCTAGAGTGTGTAATGCTGGGATTAAGGGTGTGTGATTACTAAATCACACTGGTTGGTTTGGCATAGTTTCGGGTAGTCTTCAGGGTGTCCTACTCTGGGTGTGAGTGCTACCCACCCTTAAGGGCAGGTAGCCTGGATAAAATATAAGGGACAGGAAGAAAGTGGCTGCCTGCTGCTTGTCACTTGTAGCCTGTGGCCTTCTACTTGCCATGAACTATCTTTCCTCCATGATGCCCCTCTGCGACACCACCCCACCTTGAAGCCAGCCAATTATGGTCTGAAACTTCTACAAACTGTGAGCCAAAATAAACCTCTGCCCCTTTAACTTTGGATGTTGGGTTATTTGTCTCAGCAATGAGAAAAGGAACAGAGACAATGATACATTGAGACTTATACACTTGAAAGCTACAAAATATTGCTAAAACAAATGAAAGAAGACAAGTGGAGAGACACACCTTGTTCATGAATTGCAAAATCTGTTAAAATGTCAGTTCTTTTCCACTCTGATATGTAGATTCAATGCATTCTTTTTTTTTGCTTTTTGTTTATTCAGTACTGAAGTCATGATGATTTTTTATTTTTATTACTTTGAGGCAGAATCTTACTAAATCACTAAATTGCCCAGGTTGGGCTTGAATTTGCACAATCTTCCTTAATCACAGACCCAGTAAGATCTTTTGGTAAAATTGATATGCTGATTCTAAAATTTATATGGAAATATAAAGACTCTAAAAATGCCAAAACAATTGCGAAAAATTATTAGGAAGCTTTCTGTTTATTCTTTTGATTTCTATTCAGTTTCTAAAGAATCCTGCTTTACAAGTATTTCCCCTTAGAACAAAAATTCAAAAAAATTTCTGGAAGTAATTATGAGTATAAATTATAAATAAGAAAAATGAGTTAATTTAGCTCAGTAGTCCCATGTTCAGTGGAAATAAAAAGAATTTTGTAAGATAACTATTTAAAGTAGGTTGAAAGTGCTTATATCAATTCAGTTACCACAGAACAAAATTGGGTTGCTGGTTTTACCAACCTAATAAAATGCTAAGATTCCCAAAAATTACTAACTCTTTTTTTAGAAGATAAAAATGACAGCAATTGAATTTTGTAGTTAGATATTTGCTTTAATATGGCGGCATATCATTTGCTATTATGAAGAAACTGATTGCATATTTTAGTATATTCCCACTGTCTTAATTTTTTTTAAAAGTCATGAGATTCCATTATGGTAACAACACAGATTTCTTTATATGGATACTTACTTCAAGTGAGATACTTTAATCATTTCGATGGGTGACTCATCATTGCCTCGTTCACCACGAAAAGCAATGCTCCTACCTTTAATTACAAATATTAAAGAAAATGTGAAAAAAACACATTAAGAAACAAGGAGTCATATCAATGTAATTTGGTTAGTCTTACATTTTACCCTCTTACTCAGTATTACATTTACTTTTTGTGATAATTTAAAAAATTTCTCAAAATAATACAAGTCAATGATAATATAGTGCTTATATTTAAATATGTTTTATGAAATGCATTTTCATTTCTTGTAGTTTTTTAAATCCAATAATTCAATTTTAGAAATTTAAAAATGTCATCTTCTAAATTTTCTAAGGTGTCTATAATAAAGCATTATCCACTGTAAAAACTACTGGTATATTAAAAAAAAAAAAATAGAAAACATTCCCTTATTTCCAAATACTAACTAGTAGGGAAAAAAATCTCGATATAGGTACCAGGATTTTCTGTCCCATGTGCCAAATACAACCTAAAGTATTTTGAACATGTTCCTATCAAAATATCCCTATAAACTGACATTAGGAAACAATGACTACAATGTTTATGCATACTATACACAAACTAGTTTCCTAAAAAGATAAATTCTACCTTATATCTGAAAAATATATTTTAATACCTTTTCTTAGATTTTTATTTACAGTGAATAAAAGAGAATATATTCAGTTCAAAGATAACTAAATGCCTTTCTGCTAAATGCCATCAAATGGAATCCACTGTCTGTTATTTGAAACTGTCATCCTTTTATATTTTCAATTTATTTTGAAACTCAATGGGTTATAAATTTTAAATAATTCTGAAGTTATTTTACTGGAATGTATTCTATTGAATGAAGCCTTCAAACTCCTAAATTAAATGTCCCTAGTTAGCCAGACTATCAAGGGCTCTAAATCTGAACAATTAAAAACCATCCTGGGCTGAGGGTTTGGCTCAGTGGTTCTGCCGCCTGCCTCATAAGTGCAAGGGCACAAGTTCAAACCTGGCACCAAGGGGGGAAAAAATCATCCTTAATATACAAGGTTTTTAAGGGCTTTTCTATAAAGGCTCAAGCTTTAAACTGAGACTTTAAAAGTCTAAGTACAAAGAATTATTTTTAAATTAATCTTTTGTTTATATATAACAATATACTTAAAGTAGACTGAGTTATATTTTTATGAATCTATCTGTTCAGGTTAATGTCATCCATTTTACCACCTATTTGTGTTAACAATATAAACATATAAACAAAGATAAGACTTTTCCAGGGCAATTATTATACAATAAAAAATGGATATGTAATTATAGAATATTAGAAAAGAACCCAAAGTAAAAGAAAGTACTTGGAATATTTTTATAAATAGCAGAATCTTTGATCAATATGACAAAATTATTTTGAATCTCTTAACAGTCTAAATACACAAACCTGTTGGAAGATCAACCAGCTGGAGTTCATTTCTCACTAAACCCATATTGTTTGGTGTTGAGGTAGCAAAGGAAAGAAAACCTGTCAAACTTGTCCATTCAATACCCCTGGAAAATAAACAAATATTAATTTAACATCTTCATTTGTTTGAAAAAAAAGTTTTCTTAAGGCCTAATTTTATCACATACTTTAAAATACAACCTTTTATTGAGACTATATCACCACATATTCCTAAAACACAGGAAATTATTTCTAATTACAACTATTTCCTGATGTGACAATCAGACAGTGCAGTTATCAGGATTCATACTACCATTACACTGAGAGGGACATTCACAACTGGTCGGGAAAGTCACATCACAGCAATTTCTAGGAATTCTAACTGCTTTTCACAAAAAGTTCTACAGAAATATTTTAAGCAGAATGTTTAAAGTTCAGGAATTTTATCAATATTCCTAGTTGATTAGGAAGCAGAAATTCCTTTTTTTTTAAATTAGTATATGTTTGCAATTCATGCAGTTTACAATTATCTTGGGGAGTAGTACATGTACATATTATAGCTCGCTTCTCTCTCTTTTTTTAAATCCCATTCCCTCACCTTCCCTCTTCTCCTCCAGTCCTCCTATCTCCTCTTTCACTCTTGTTGATATCATTGTTTTAGCTATGTTATGGCATATAGTGTTTATATTAATTGCAGTTATCAGGTTCCTATACATGGCATATCTTTATTCTTATTTCTCCCTCCTGTCCTCCTCACTCCTTGCCCTTGAGGAAGAAGAAATTCTTAAAGCAAAGAATATGAACTGAGCTGTTAGATCTGGAAGTAGATGGAAGTTCCAAATGGGATTCCAATTAGGGAAAAGCACAACGTTAAATCTCAAAAAGAAAGACATGTCTGGGGGCCAGGGACACAGCTCAGTGGTGCCATGCCATGCCTGCCTCTCAAGCACAAGGTCCTGAGTTCGATCTCCGGTACCACACACACACCAAATAGAAAGAAAGTTTGAAAAGACATCCACCCATGAAGTGAAAGCCCTTGGAATCCCATTAACGAGGGGTGTGACAGTAGGCGATGACACATCTTTTCTCCCCTAACAAACCTGGACAGTGTACACCAACACAATGTGCAAGAATGGAAAAGAGAAAGGGGCACAGGACAACAAACAGAGTTACAAGCATTGCTTACATGGGGTAGACGCTGGCTGAGAGAAGGTCAAACCTTCATTCTATTATATGTAGTTGTTCATCAGCATTCATAAGATGGTCATTTTAAAAACCACATTTTGTCTATGGCTACTCTACAATGCAAGGGGGCTAAGCTGTTATAGCAGTGGTTTGGTGACCTAAAATTCTAAGCCTAAAATACATACTATCAAGTCTTTTATGGCTTGTGTCTAGATGTACCCTCAAAGCCTCATGCAGTCATAGGTGGCAGCTTTTTCAGAGGTGGCTGAATCTAGAGTGTGTGATGCTGGGACTAAGGGTGTGTGATTACTCAATCAATCCACTGATTGGTTTGGCACCACCTTAATCAATGTAGCTACAGAGAATACAAAAAGGAGCAGAAAAAAGCTGCTGAGGTCGCTTGTTGGTTCTCTTGCTTGCTTTGCTACCTTCTGCCCACTATGAACGGTTTCTTCTTCACAATGCCTGTCCGTCATGTCACCCTGACTTGGAGCCTGATGACTATGGACTGAAACCTCTACAAACTGTGAGCCAAATAAACCTTTCTTCCTTAACTTTGGGTCTTGGGTATTTTGTCTCAGCAATGAGAAAAGTAACTAAAACAAGGTCCTTTACAGAAAATGTTTACTGATCCCAGATCTTTCTCCATTTTTGCACTTATCTGCATGGAACTACTACTAACACTTAACATAAAGGACTGCCCCCCTACTTTGTCCAAGCATGTAAAATGGACTCATGTGTCATATCTAAACTCCTTTACACATCATCCAGCCATTTGCTTCACCCTACCTGACTGAGCTCACCAGGCAGTCATCTGAACCTTGTCTGCTATTTTAACTCAAAGAATCTTCCACACTGATCTATGTGTACACTCTTTTGTCAGAAGGACAAACATAATCCAAAAAGAACTAAAAACACTATTTCCAACAGGGATAGGTGGGACAAGGGAGTGGGGAAGTATGTTTTCAGGATGATTCAAAGACATGGACATCTCTAGCACGTGTAGTTCACAGGAGGAGGCATGGTCCTATGAGAATCTAATGTTGATCTGACGGAAGTTCAAGTGGTAATGCAAGAGATGGAGAGTGGCTGTAAATACAGATAAAGCTTCACTCCCTACTGTGATTAAGCTGCTTACCTACTGTGTGACCTGTCTCTTAACAGAATTCCTGATCTAGGCAGTATCCATACTTTGACTGCTCTCTTCACTCATCAAATATTACTGGAGTTAAGCACTAACTAGCTCTGGAATCTCTGCATCTCAGTTTCCTCATCTGTGATGCAGGAAAAATAGTGCAAATAGAAGGACTGGCCCTATTGTAAGTGCTATTGATATGTACTTGTAATTACTATCATCATGATTATGACTCTTAATTTGAGAGCTAACTAAAGACTTATTTTCTTCATCAGTCTTCCTGATTCACTAAACTCAAATCATACCCACAATGAATACTGTAGAATCTGGTTAATAATTCACTAGAAAAGCTCCTTCCTCTCTTATTTCTTCTTTGCTTTCCATAACAGGTAACAGTAACCACTAATGTTTCTAATTAGAGTAAAGAGCAGAGTCATTTGGGGAATATTCTAATCTTTGTAAGTCTTTTAGATTCAGTCAGCTCTCTCTGTCCACAGAAACCCTAAGATTCACCCTCCAAGTCTTGTTTTGTTGTTAGTCATAAAATTAGATTAGCAGGCCTGGAGACAGGCAGCTGTGGGCTAACTGAAATGCAGGCAAGATGTTTTTTTATTTTGTTTTTTGCTTTCTAATCACTACCTATAGATAAAATCCACACAAGTTTGTAGTTTCAAACTTCAGCTCAATTGGATATAGAGGTTCCATTTGACCCAGCCATCCCTCTGCTGCGTATCTTTCCAAAAGAATTAAAAGAATCATATCACAGTGATATATGCACACCTATGTTTATAGCAGCACAGTTTGTAATAGCTAAAACTAGGAAACAGTCCATTTGTCCATCAGTTGGAAACTGGATAAAGAAGATGTGGTTTTTCTATAAAATGGAATACTACTCAGCCATAAAGAATGAGAAATTAGGTTCATTCATAGGTAAATGGATACATACTGAGGATATACTCCTAAGTGAAATAAATAAGTCACACGTGTAAATACCAAACAGATTTTTTGGTGTGAAAAACTATAATAGTACATAAGATCCTAATGAGATAAATGACAATCTGAAATAGGAAGGAAAGGGCTAAAGGTGTAGGGAAAGTGGGAAGGGTAGGGGAAAGGTAATAAGGGAAAAGAAAAAATATGAGAAAATGAAAAAATGGAAATAAAGTGTTTGTAAATGGGGAGGGGAGGTGGGGGGAAGGGAGGGCAGGGACAAGGAGAAAAAATGAGAACCAAGACCTGTCATGTAAAGGTACAGAATCCCAATAATGAATGTAACCGTACTGTACTGTATACCTAAAATGTACCAATAAACTCAATGAGGAAAAAAAAAAACACTTCAGCTCAAGAGATTGCAACATTCTCTGAATGAGATAAAGTCTAGAGCCTGTAAATAGTTCAGACCATGTGTGAGGAGTTAAAAAAAACAACGAAAAAACCTTCAGGGTCAAAATATAAACTAAAGGGAGAATCCCCTAATGAGTAAACAGGGAGCTACTTCTCTCTGAAATAGGTAAACATAGCCCATTTTATTTGTACAACAATGACTTCAGAAAAAGACCCAGTTAATCATATACAGTAAATGTAGTCTGAGACCTCATTCAATACAACTGCCATTTTGGACATTGCTTATCTTCATACCTGAAGGTGTGTTTTCTTTCTTTCTCTGAAAAAATCTATCATTTTTGCAATAAACTTTATCTGTTCTCTACACAATGACCTATATAACTTGTCTGAAATCTTCTGTCAAAGACACAAAGAATCAAGGTGTATTGCCAGTTCCTTGAAATGTTATGGCCTGGCTCTGTTAAGACCTTTCTTCCTGCTAACACTGCTGCTCACAATCCAAATTAACCAATTGGCATCACTATCCCTGGACACTAGGAATTCTGTCCTCCTATCCCTCCCTATTTTCAAAAATATATCTGTTAAGCACCAAGTATAAGCTCATGACTTTTTAGGCACTGGGTTGCAATACTCCTAAAAATAAGTCTTTCTGAAGCTTGCATTCAACCAGAGAAGAGGTTTTATGGAAGTGCATTCCATATTATCTATGACAAAACAGACTGATTCAGATTTCAATAGGAGCTGTTTGAGAGTCTCCCATAATTTGGTCTCAGGGGGCAGGCAGGGCTTCCTGGAGAAATTATTAGAGCTGAGACTCAAAGAGCAAATAGGGTTTGAACCTAAGCCTGTATTACTGAGACAACACAATAAGTGACTCAGAAACACTGTTACATTGCACTCTCTTTGAAAGCAGGTAGGTACCATGTCACATCTTCCCAGGCATGTGATAGCACTCAGGAATTTTGTTAGGTTAAATTAACAATGTCCAAGAAAAGCCCAGCATTCCTTTTTGTGTTTTAGTGTCATGCATATTCACAGAAATGTGTTCTCCTCTATTTAAGATGTCCTGGAGTACAGACATCTTAAATAGAGGATATAACAGAATATGAAGTGGCTGCTTATGTTCTATAATCTATAGTATGAGCATGTTGCCTTTGAACAGATTACAGCAGTAGTTTAAATATCCCATTCCTACTGAAGAAAATAAAAATCAAGTTGAACTTCAAAGTGAAGATTAGATAAGGAAGGGATTATTACTCAGAAGAATGAAAACTCTTGTCAAACATAGCTGAGCTCTACTTCCCTCAGGATTAGAATATTTTTTAGGTTTAACTACATCTGAAGGGCTCTAAAAGACTAGGAACAGCAGCTCATTTTCTGTTCTAGGATTTCTTTATACTTTATCAGATTCCTAACCACTGAACTCCTGTAACTTTTGAATTTATCAGGAGACATCTGGGGTTCCCACACTTGGCCTACTGTCCACCTACTGAGTACACCACAGACACCACTCTCATCGTGGATGGCTAGCAGGGGACCCACACTTCTGAAAAGCCTTGAAGTTTTAAGATTCTTCTGCAAATTTATAAACAGACAAAACAGAGATCATTTTGCTTTCTACAAATAATCTAATCAAAGAAATACTGGGTCAAACAATGGTCTAATAGCTATAGAAAATACTATTAATAATTTTCGACATCCAAAATAGTACCAGCCTATATTATTTTAAATTTGGCCTATAGAAAAAGACATAAACTAATAATCTATGAATATTAACATGTACCACTCCACTTTGTTTACTTCTAGGTACCATCCACTAAACTATAAGCATCGAAGTCTTTGTTCAGAAGATACTCAATAGATATTTGTATCACTAAATAAAACGACATGGTTTTTAAAACACACACACATACACACACAAAACCCTATCTGTAGTTAAATAGTCCCTGGCCTCATACATATATGCACAAGATTCGTGTACAAGGGAAAACAATAGCTTTCTAAAAGTTAGCTTTAATTTGCATATAAAAGTCTAGAATGTGTTTGGTTTATTGCTAATCAGTTCTGAATTTTTTATAACACATCTGTGAAATCTTCATAATGGCTTTTAATTGTAGTACTAGAACTGCATTAATTGAAACACAAAGACAGCAGGATTTTAGCATCCTCCTGAGTAGCATCTCTGAATATAAAATGAGCTATCTTCAAAATGGGAATTAAAAAATGAAAATTCATATGCAAAATGGAGCACTTGTGTATGATCATTCACAATGCTAATCTGTGTGAGTAGCACATTCCTTAGAGTGCTAGGTATCCAATTCACTTGTTATTAAAAACTGTAGTGTTACTCAACCATAAATACAGCAGTGACATCTACAACCCGACTAATCCAGGTTAGCAAATCTTACTGAACACTAATACCTTGCTGATAAACTAGCTATTGAAGGTTTCAGTATTCAAAAACAAAAGGACAATGTGCTTGATTTTCCAGAAGCACATGTCAAATTCTTAGCATGACTCTTGGCTCAGGTACCATTTTTATTTTTACTGTCACCATGATTCCTATGGATCTATGGACATTTTTAGTAGGAAATCTTGCACAATTTTAGTAGGAAATCTGTAAGAGCTCAAGCTCTGAAGCCTGAAAGGTTTACAATGAATTCCATGTACTTCTTCCACAGATTACTCTAATTCTCAGTTTCTTCCTCTAACAATTAGAAATATAATACTGGCTACCCATTAGCAGTATAATGGGGATTCAATGAAGTGATACATGCAAAGTATTAACATAATCCTTGGGACAATACTGGTTAGGTGAAAAGCTTCCACCAGTTGTTGTCAGCCATGAAAGGAAACACCACATAGGAATGGCAAGATTGAAGGAAATATCAAGGACAGAAATGCAGACAGGAAAGAAAGGGAGAGAGAAGATATGAACAGTGGCAGCAACAACTACTGGAGTAAGTACGTACCAGAGTGGAAAACTGCAGATTCTGTTTTAAAGGAGAAAGAAGATAACAGCCTAGATGAAGCTAAAGAGAGATCTTTGTTGCTGTACCTTTAAAATGTAATGCTTTTTTACTCTATATAAATGTATTTGTGAAGATACTGGAGAGGTACAGCATAAGATGGCAATAAACAGGCACAAACATTACAAAACAATTCACTTGAAAAAATAAAACATTGTAAGCCTTTCAGAGATTTATAATACAAAAGTTGTGATATTCAAAGGGCTAACACTTCTACATCCAGAAAATGCATTTACTCAGAGTAGTGTATTCACTAAAGGTTCACTAAGAATCTTTTTTCTTTCTCATTGAGTTTATTAGTACTTTTTAAATATACAGTACAGTTACATTCATCATTGGGATTTTGTACTTTTACATGATGTATCTTGGTTCTTATATTTTCCCCATACCCCTGCCCTCCCATAGCCCCCTCCACCATTCCCTAAGAATCTTGATGTACCCGAGACCTATGATAATGTAATGTACAGAAGACAGAAAGTGGCCTTTCTTATATTTTCCTTTAAAGATAACTGAACAATACCGGAAACTGATATTATATTGTATGTAACTATAGCCTATCACTGATAGGGCAAAAGAGGAAAACAGCCTTGCATTCAGCAGAATAATGTTATGGAGCAGATATGTATACATTGTAAAGCAGAAATAAGAGGTATTCTTCTGTCAATTTAGGCTTCTCTCACATATAAATGCAGCATTCATACCCAGATCACTCAGAATTAAAGAATAAATGCTATATAATTTTGCGCCTTTTCTGATGGTGTTCATACAAAACAGTAAGGTTAGTTAATAATTAAAATTACTTTCTTCAAGTTTGTCATTAGCAATCCTAATCATCAATCTTCATCAAACTGGAAAATAAGTCCTGAACAAGGTGACACAGTGATTTTGGATGAGAACGTAACTTGGACCTCAGGAGAAATAAATAACGTGCAGCAATGAAAGATTTCATTTCTTATGTGGTTTACAAAGCAAGCAATTAGTACTCTTCTTGATTAACACAGCTATTAGCTAGACATGAATATTTATTATTCAAACTTTTCAAATAATCACTGCTGTAGATAGCATTATAAAGTATTTGATGCAGCAGTCCATGAGGAATTTTTCCTGATATTACCTACATTTTAAATCTCAGAGTCACAAGGGCATACTCACTTGACTTCGCATGAGTGGATACTTAACTCCTTGTGTAGCAGGCCACTGGTGAGGTGATATACCAGGACAGAACCATTACCTGTACCTACCAAAATGATGTTAACAGAAGAGTACTCATTTAGTGATAATTCCAATTCTTTCCAACAAGTCTCTTCTCAAAATTTTAATCATTTCACAACATTTATCTTCTATGACAGTGACCCAACTTGTGCTTGCAAAACACGTGTCTCTGACCTCTTTCCTATCAAAAATGGGCCTAATCACATGTACACTGAACTTTTACCAACTCTAGGGATAAATTCCACAACAAGATTTAAAAAGACTAAATCAGTACACATAACTATTTCAAGTAGCACTTCCTTAAGCTTTTCTATACATGGGAGTTATGTTTATGGGAGAATGTTTATTATTGCTGGTCCTCATAAAAAATAAACTAGTAAAGCTCATTAACCAGATTTTTTGTTTTCTTTTTACAAATTTATTATTTTTGTTTTGTCTCATATTAAACAAGTTCTGATAAAATAAGGGGTGGTGGTTAAATATGTTTTTGTAGTTAAAGCCTGAGTTCAAGGTCTGACTCTATATTCTTTGTTTTTCCCTCTTAGACAAGAATAAAAGAAAATCTCCTTATCAACAATTAAATGAGAAAATATATGTAAAGCACAGCATTTCACAGAAAGTAAGTATTGGGTTAACTAGTATTAAGTATTTGTTATCATGGCTCCCAAAGCTTTCTGTGGTCTCAAACAGTAGAAGACATGGACATTCTTGAACAAGTTTTCTCTAGTGTTTTTATAAATTAAGCAAGAAACATGAAAAGTATAATTGAACAATCATTTTCTTAATGTATATTAAAGAATTAATGTATCTAACAAAGCAATTGAATGGAAGCAAATTCCAATTTATTTGCTGAATAAAGCTCTAGAAATCATCTATATAACTATTCTAGAAAAAAGTACCAGACTATTACCTATATTTATCAGTTATTTCATAATAATAACTTTCAGTACACAATACTGAATACTGAAATTTTTCAATTATCAAACTTTCTAATAGGTCCAGGGATTTAGCTCAGTGGTTCCACCAGCCTTGCAAGCACAAGGTCCCAAGTTTGATCCCCTGTACCAAAAAAAGAAAAGCAAAACTATCAAACTTCCTAATAGTCAAATGACATCTACATTTTGTAAATTTTGATGATGCTGCACCTATGATCTAACTCTCCAAGGCACCGCTAGAAGTTATTCCATAGGTGAACTCTGCTTATCGTTCCTAGTGACAGTGCAACACTGTAGGCATTTTACATTTTTTGTTTTTACTTTGTTATACTAAGTTTAATAAATGATGAATTCACCTTACACTAGTATAGTACAACATATTCAACAATGGAACTCTCAGAACTATTTGACATAGTTCTTATATAGCTGTAACAAAAATAATTTTCCAAAAAATCGATAAAATTCCAATTGACAAATCAGGTACACTGACACTACACATACATGTACATGTAATAAACATTGATGAGTCCTAGTGATAGTTAAAATCTCTATAAAATGTCAAATATGAATGGTTTCTAAAGCAAAAATTAAATACTTTCTGCATTTATATAAATCTGGACACATGTACCCATAAATTATTCAATATTCAAATTCAAATAACTTTCAGAAGATAGCCACAGAAAAACAAAAGAAAATACCCAAAGGAGCCATTAGTATTCCAAGTCAGCTATTAAGCTACATAAGACACGTTGGCCACAAAACAAATGGCAAGGTTTTCATTAAAAAAGAAGAAAAAGCATCACAAGTCACATCTTATAAGACTTGGGAAGAAAGAAGCCAACCAATAGTCTCATAATATAAAATGTTAATTGTTTAAAATTTAAGAAAAAAAATTTTTTTTTAATTTTTGGAGAAATGTATTTTAACTTTACATATGTAAAAACTAGTTTTTTTTTCCTCTGTAAAAGAAATTAGGTTCATCCTGTTATGAAATGAATGTGACAGCAAGCTGAAGCCCAGACATATTTTTCTATCTATAACGTAAAACTTGTAGTTTCAAGCCAGCAAATGTGAGATTATGGAAATCAGTCTCTTTAAACAATGATTAATATACAATTCCTAGCCAATGAAGATGACTCCTATCATTAAATTACCATATAACTCTGGCTACATTATTACTTAACAAAGACTCAGTACAAAATAATAAGCATTGGGCTGATCTATAAACAGACAAGGAGTCCTGGATTCATCATCATACAGGGACTATCCCTTAATGTTTCAGAGAGGTACTGATACTGTCAGAGACTTGATGGTACAGTCTCAGGCAGATGAGCCGTAGTGAGATTAAAAATAAGGCAACTAGAGTAAAAGGAAAGGGGGGGAGGGGAAAGGAGGGAAGGGGTAGGAAGGAAGATGCTTTAAGATGAGTATTTAGACAACTTCACTCAGCCTGTTTATCTTTTAAAGCATCCTTACAGAGAATAAAAGATTTTCTAGAAATGTGAAAACCAAACATCTTATCAGTTTTACAAAACAGCAGGTCCAGTGCTCACCGACAGCAAGCAGTGGCTGATACGTCTTGATGTTTTTTGTAGTCAGAGGTGGGCACATACGGATGGTGAACTGTGGGGAGGGCAGTCCTGAAAGTAGTCCCGTTAGCAGGAATTTCAGGTGCACTTCCTGAAGAATAGAGCCTTTGGGATGTTCTTCCCCAGCAATTGCGCTTTGCCCTAATTTGTATAAAAAACAGATATATGAATTATAATGCTGACCTCAAAAATTAAAGAAACTTTTTAGTGGAGACTCTTCAGTTCTGGAAGCACAGATGTGATGTAGCACTCTAGAGGCAACAGCTAGCAGGGACACTAAGGCTCTGCCCTTGGCAGAGGAACTTAACTCACATCAGTTTACACTTAAAGGATATATTATTACACAGTGCTGCTATCCAGAATTCAGAAGCTAGGTCTTCTAAGAAACAGTTTCAGCTAAAGTAGCTGGTATAAGGGTCCTAAACAGAATTCAGAACACATCAAGAGAACCTGGGTTAGAGAAAACTTTCTGTGGAGGGTGGTGGTACAAAATATTCCGATCTCGCTACCTTTCTAAAGGGCTATTTTTAATCTGAGGCCCTCTAAAGTGAATGTAAAAATTCATTTATGATACCTAATATGAAGTTTTAATGTGCCAATGAAGTTATAAAGCATACGTTCATAATTAAATATAACATAAATATGTAATATATACAATTGTTAATAATACCATATATTAAATGTCAGTAATGAGTTAAATCATATAATTTTCAGAAAAATTGTTTGTACTTAGATTATAAAGCCTCAAACTAAAAAGATGATTCCAGGAAGCCAGGTGTGGTGGCACATGCCTATAATCCCAGCTCTCAGGAGGCTGAGGTAGGAGGATCGCTGCGAGTTTGAGACCAATCTGGGCTACATTGTGAGTTCCAGGTCAGTCTCAAAAAACAAACAAACAAACAAAAAATAAATAAATAATAAAAAATAAAAAATATGATTCCAATAAAAACCATTCTAAGAAAATGTGAATATAACGAGTACAGTAAAGACTGTTCATCTAAAAATGTATATACTTTTTTCTATAAATTACTATCAAATATTGGGATTAACTTGCCAAAAATACATAATAAAGAACATGTGTGAATATAATAGACAAACATACACAAACATGTTTATGTTGGGAAAGGTGACTAGGTGCTGGAACTATTAATATAATCCTTTGAGGCTATAAGGCCTTCTAGTAATAATATTATTTTAAAATCTTTAAAATAAATAGAAAAAGAAGCAATCAACTTAACCCAAATAAAATGATTCCTTAGACTGGCAATACAATTGATATCCACTTACTTTAGTAACAACAGATGGGATGTTAAGGAAAGGGAAGTCCAACAGGTAGGCACGATGTATACCAACACTACTAGCTGAGAGCTGACTCCTGGGAATGGCTACATTTTTAGTGTTTTCCTTAACAGGTAATTCACAAGGCAGGGCAGATTAGGCCCTAATAAGCAACTGCCTTTATCCAATGAATATAAATCAGCCTCTGTATTTAACTGAATTGCTTTCAATTATCACTAAGTACACAGTGAATTTCAAATTAAAAATTTAATTAAAAGTTTTAATTAAAGTGTTTTCAAGTGACAAAGCTTTATTTGTTTAACACTTTTAAATCAGCTGCTTTGTCAAGAACTGCTATACAATCTGTATCATTTTGTTTCTTAAATATTGTAATTTATATCACTTAGATACTTAAATAGCATAAAACTTCAAACTCCTACAGGCTTATGATTACTGATTAGCTCTGTTCATGTGTATTTATAATTCTTTTCACTTTAATATTTTATATTAAAAACAGACAAGGTCAATTAACTCAGAAAATTGTGTTACTGATAAAATGAATTCTGCAAAACTATTAAATGTCCAAATTTCCTCATATGGATTTAGGTAGACAGAAAAAATTTTAAACATAAAGGTTGGTATCATTAAGCAAAGCATTCTATAGCTGGTGTGAATCATGAGAAAAATCAAGGTCCGGAGAGTGACAGTGGTGCAGCCAAAACTGGAGACCATGTCACAGAGCTTGCCCCAGAAGAATGAGGACTGGGATCCCATCTGGTTCTTCCATCTACTACTGGGGCATGGTTTGGGACAAGTTTCTTAATCTCTCTAGGTCACAGTTCTCACGTATATTAAATGGAGATAATATTGTCTACAGGGTTGCAGTGAGACATTATGCAGGACACTTATGATAGCAGTTAAGGCAGAATTGAGTACTCAATGTCATTTCATTAATACAATTAAAGGAACACCGTCTGTATTTAGTATATTACCTTATAGCATTTAAACAAAAGACCCACTCAAGAATATTCATTCTCAATCACACTATGGAAGAATAAACAATACAAAACATTCTTTATAAACCATACAAGTTCAAAAGAATTTGATGTTAAAATTATTTAACATATTTACAAAGTCTTAAAGATTCAACTTGCATATCTGGAGTCACAAATCTTCATTCTTCAATATATATAGGTCCATAATAATTAAATAACTGAATATTCTAACTGCAAATAAATATTTGCTGAAAGAATCCCCAGTCAAGAAATTTTAAAAGTTCATACCACAAAGTTAAAATAATTTTTCTTATATTTCTCAACTATTTTATTCTTCCAGCTAATATTAACTACACATCTAGACTACATAAGGCTCTGTGCAGAGTGCTTGAGGGTACAAAATTGAATCAAACACCATCCCACCTTTGTAGAATATATAGTTTGCTGGAGGAAAGAAAAAAGTTAAAAAAGCTACACAATTACAAAACAGCTGATAACTCTTTGGGACTACACTGAAATCAGGCTGAAGAGATTATAGGAAGCAACACGAGTTAAATTTTGAATAAGAAGCATCAGAAAGGAAGAGAGAGAGAAGCCATGCATTTAACTCCTAGCCAAGGGGCCGGTGAGCTTGTAGGTCCAGAGGAGGTGGGCGCCGCTCAACAAGACTTCTAAATCCAGAATCCAGATGCCTGGATATCATGTTTCAATCAGTTTTTCACGAATAAACATTTTCTAATCCCAACAACCATAATGGCTACCTATGCTACTTTAGGCACTTTCATAATTAAATCTTTCATACCTTTCTGCTCTAAGAAAGAATAATTCTCCATTTTACTTTCTCAACTATGAACTTTGAATTTATCATAACTGCAAATCAGTAACTCTATTAATTTTTCCTTTCAGAAAGAATATGCAACATGAAAATGAGAGAAAAAAGAAGAAAAAACACCTTACCAATCATATTATCTAGGGAAAGATCTGGAAGTTTGTTTTGTAGTACTCCTACAGGAATTCCACAGAAAGACACTGGTGAATACAAAGGTGACACACCAGAACTACTGTGAAGACATAATAATTAGATAGTTTCACATATTTAAAAGCAACATTCCATATGAAGAACTCAAATTATTAATTCCAAGTCATGGTATTCTACTTTTATTAATCTTTGTCATAGGTCAAACAGCTCTGGTAGGTTTACATCATTATTAATAATCTAAATCCTTAATTATCTACTTAAAATATTTTTATAGAAAAATGGTCCTATTTTTATATGATTTTGTTTTTTTTGTTTTTTTTTAAAAAAAAAGGTTACAGAAAACAAAAATACAATCCCATTGGTCATTTACCTGTTTCTCGAGTTTCTACTGCACACAGCAGATTTGAGTTCCCATATCATGACCCTGCCATCACTCACTATGAGAGCAGCTGCATTCTCATTGACAGGACAGCACACCATACTGAAGGGACGGACAGTTTTTGTCACCCTGATTGCATCACACTGGCTTCGTAAATCATAGGTAAGCTCCTGAACAGGATCTGGATCTTAACAGAAAAATTTTTTAAGTATCAAAATCACTATTATTTGTTGAACATAAATAAAACCTCAAGTAAAAGGAAAGTATTCCTTTAATAGTGAAAACTTAATAACTTCACTTTTTACAATTACTACTAATTTCTTCAGAATACAAAAATAATTCACCTCATGACTGCATACAACTTTAATCTCTAAAATAAATACAATGAAGATATCCTATTTTTAAATATTTTTAAAATAAAATGCTTTGAAAAAAGATCACCAGTGATACATGGTTAAGAAATAAATAGTACACCACTACCGTAAAGGTGTAGTGCAGACTACCAATGGTCTACAGTAATCTGAAAATACCTATTCTTTATGAAAGATGTGAAAATTGCTTTCCGTTTAAATAGTACATCATTTCACAAAAACATCATTTCTAGTCTCTAAAAATAAGGTTCATCGGACAGTTCAATTCCCTGGAGACTTACTAACATTTACAAGGGACCCCCCTAAAGCAGAAAAGTAAAGGGGGTATAATATTAAAGGTACACAAGTTTGGACTTGGATTGGAAAAAAAAATTTATAAAAGACAACATCTACTTTGTCCATGGACACAGTCAAGAACAAATTACAAAATATCAGTCTCTATGTTGTATACATAGATGGTACACTGCTGTAACATTAAAGGCGGGCTCATAAAACATTATGGTGCGTTCTCATCCGCCTTATTTACTGGAACTGGCACCATGCAACTTCTGGCTCTTCCTGAGTCAAAATGACTATGAAAGGTAAATGTTCTGAATCGATTCAGGACATCAAGACAGCCTGACAGCACAACTAAAGACATTCATCAAAAAGGATGTCCAACTGCTTCAGAAAGCAGCAAGAATGGTGGGATAAATGTGTTAAAAGAAAAGAGGAGTATTTTGAGGGAGGGCAATGTGTCTTTTACTGTAATAATTTTTTAAATTTAAACGTTCACTATATTTTCCCATCATTCTTTATATAACATGTTAACTGTCTGAGAGTCTCCTTTAAGTCTGGAAGAAGTGAGCCGTCATGTTATAAGACTAGACCTGAGTTATAGCAGGGAAACAGGACTCCAGTCCTGCAACCTCAAAGATAATGTAACCACATGAGCTGCCAACAACTAGAGGGACCAAGCTCTAGAACCCAGCTATGGCTCACAAGTTGTTTGTACTGGGCTTATACCTCATGTTGTAACTTTAAGACAAGAATTGCTTTGGCTGGCATTTGCCACAAGAAGCTTTATAAAATAATTCTGAAGAAAAATATAATTAACATCACTGTATGATCTAAACTTACCTGGCTCATCATTTGAAGCGGTAACAATAGTATTATAAGATCTTCGAACACGGAGGGTTATGCAACCATTTTCATGTAGGCAAAATAAGCCATCACGCTGAAAGCAGGGTATTACCTTTAAATAGATGATATATTTACTTTTAAAAACACAATAGGTATTGAAGTATATACTGTGAAACTCAACCTTGTATTTAGAAAATACAGGCAAAAAAAGAAACAAATGAAAATATACACATAATCCCCCAAGCTTTAAAACAAAATGAACATTTTTAAAATCCACTAGTAATTCTAAAAATATAAAAAAAAAAAAAAAAAAAAAAAAAAACTATCTTTATGCATGTGACTTAAATAGGTTAGTAAACATCTCAGGATCAATTAGAATAATCTGTAGGACAAACCAAACCAATTAAAAGTGCAGAAAAATAAGAAATACAAAATATCACCATTATTCTTTCAATAAACTAAAAAAGTAGAGCTAATCATTTTTGCAAGATTAGTTTTTCTCTAAACCAAATTCATTATAACTTTCAGAGATGTAATTTATAAACTGTAGATACCTGCAGAAATGGAACTCCTGTTCGTTCTATTGCAATTACACCCACTGTTTGATTCACCTCAAGGTCAAGAATTAAAATCTCTCGAGGATAGAGCAACAACATGTGATTCCTTTTCGAAGGCAGGTATGCCAACTGGAGGCAATCATTGAGAGTTATAAATTCTGCACTGAAAAAAGTATCAAGATAAAATGGTATCAATAACAGTATTAAGATTTAATTTACATCAGACAGACTTAATAAAGGATTTAATTTTGTACTCTCCACATAATAGCTGTCAGTGAGAATGTATGACTATTTCCTGAAATGAACAAGATGGGTTAGCATTTAAAACTTGGATTTCTACTAAGTACCAGAATCCAAATCATGACAATACTGAGTAGATACCATTGTTTCCAAACTTCTGATATATTTACTGTGAAACATGATAAGTGACAATACTATAATAACATTTGTAAGATAGTTTTTTTTTGTTTTGTTTTGGGTTTTTTTGGTACCGGGGATTGAACTCGGGTCCTTGCGCTTGCAAGGCAGGCCACCAAACTGCTGAGCTAAATCTCTGGCCCTGTAAGATAGTTTTGATTTTTATTTTACAAACAAAAGTCTAGAATGCTGAAATTAAGGCTCAGGATTAAAACATAAACATTTAGGGAAGCTAGAACCACTGGACCAGAATTACTGAACTTATTGAATGACTGGATCTTTATGACCAATAGAAAGTCACCTTCCTGACCCTTCACTTTTTTCTTCCGGCAGTGCAGGAGATGGAACTCAAGGCCTAATACACATGCAAGGTAAGAACTGTACTACCAAGCTACATCATCAAGCTACCTCACTCACTTTTAAGTTGTTTTAAATCTCTCCACAAACAAACTAGGGTACTGCATTCATTTATATAATATCAGTTCCTTTTGTATAATTAAAACAGAAGAAATAAGGATTGTAAAAAATATTAGAAACAAAAATTCATTTTAGAAACTTGTGATCAGTGCAACTGCTTCATTGCAATCTTTTATATAAAATATATTTCAATATTAACAGACATAGTAAAGCACTATTTTTGTTGTTGTTGTTACAGGGAATCAAACTCAAGGCCTTCTGCCTGCCAAGAAAGAGTCACGCTGCTGAACTAAATCCCCAACCCAACCCTATTTTATTTTTACATAATAGTTGTATTAAAAAGTTTTGATATTTAAAATAGTTTAGAAAAACAGGATTTGTACTGCATTAAAATTCTGACTGCCATTTCCTAGTTCACTAAGCTTGAGTAGTGAATTTAAAACAATATAGAACTAAGGTTTCCTGATCTATAAAATGGGAAAGATACTGGGCATGGTGGCACATGCCTATAATCCCAATACTTGGGAGGTTGAGGTAGGAAGACTGCCACAAGTTTGAGGCCAGCCTGGGCTACACAGTGAGTTCAAGCTCAGCCTGAACTATATGAGACCTTGTCTAAAAAACAAGAAGTTTTAGTGGGGAGAAGATACTACTACCCAGGGCTGACATAAGAGTACATGATTTAATGGATAATGAAAGTACCTAGACCAATTCTATTTGAAGGGATAAATAATGCACATATAATTCAAGATACATATATAACTCACACAACATAAAACAACAGTCATAAACTTTAAAACTATTCCTCCTGCCAAGTGATTATTTATGATAGGGAATGCACAAAATACAGAAAGTCTAGAAAGATACTTAAGAACCAATCATAAATCATCTCAGCAGAGTGGGAAATTAGTACATTTAACCAGCCTAGGACTTCATATATGGAAATACTTATCCACAAATTTAGAACATATTTGTAATATAACTTATGTTTTAAAAATATAATATGTTAAACAATTATCCATAAAAGTCTAATTAGAATAATCTGAGCATGTTAAAGATAAAAGCTATTGTAAATGTAAAAAAAAAAAAAAAAAGAAAGAAAAAAGAAAAAAAGCCCAAGCAGTAAAAATATGGTAGCAGTAGGATTAAGACAGAAATCTATTTCTTTTTTTTGGTTTGTTTGTTTTTGAGACAGGGTCTCACTATGTAGTTGAGACTGACCTGGAACTCACTATGTAGCCCAGGCTGGTCTCAAACTCACAGCAATCCTCCTGCCTCAGACTCCTGAGTGCTAGGATTACAGGCTTGTGCCACCACATCCAGCTAGAAATCTATTTCTGAAGCATAAATTAGTTACTTGAAATTTCATTTAGTTGCAATTCCTTAAATAATAACAGCTCGCATTTTCTAAATGAGTGGTTACAAAGTATTGAGCCGGGCATGGTGGTGCACACCTGTAATCAGACAGTGGAAGGAAAGGGACTATGTTAAGAGAATGAATCTCATCCTAAAACAGAAGATAAAAGAATATATTTCCTCTAATAAATTTAAAATTGGAAATAAGATGAGATTTATCTTGGAACAACTCCAAAAATGATGATTTCATATGGAATAGATGAATGTTGTTAGTCTTACACTTGTTAACTTACCTAGGTTTCTCTTGCGTGATTAAAATTTTTACTTTATTAAGAGCTTTCTTGGCTCCTGTGGCTGCAGCCAGCTTGTTATGAGCTGGGCTGGAATGTGGACTGGAGATATACACTTTTTTCCCAGGGCCTGAGGGTGGCTTAGATGGAGAGAAGTCTGAGATGAATACAATGCCCTCACTGGTGAGCACTATATTGAGAGAAGTAAAACTCTGATTAAAATTTAATCAAGTTAGCACAGTTTTATTCCAATACAATTTGAGAACAAGATAATGATAATTTTAACAATACAGAAATGGCCATGATACACAGTCAGAATATGATGAGAATACTCTCCAAGTTGAAGAGAAACAAGTAGTCCATTAGAATTCAAAGGTTTCTAAGTTCAAAATTCTAAATTATAATCATATTAAAATGACACTAGAAGGTTATGAGCAGAAGAATAAATGTTTGTTCTGCCAGTAAAGTCCATGCAGAGATTTTCATTAAAAACCTTATGGCCAGGGGTTTATCTCAGTGGTTCTGCTGCCTGCCTAATAAGCACAAGGACCTGAGTTCAATTCCCGGTACAAAACAAAATCTTATCTCATTATATCTCATAATTTCAAAATACACTTTTCAGAATATAAGATTCATAGAGAAAGAAAAAATATTTTTTATGTAAGAGGTTCTGCATATCACAATTAAAAGTTCAAATATTCGATTTGAGGACACTAAAATATTTCACGATTATCATACTCAGTCTAAATATATTTTCTTTTCATTCTCAAGCATCAGACTGAACCTTAGGATGAAGAGTATTTTTTTCCCATTATATTGAAAGAGATTATCAATAAAGGCTTATTAAGCATCCATTAAATAAATATACTCTAGCATCATATTTAGCAGTATAATATTATGTCTTTTAATAACTGAAAAATTAACCTCCCTCAACACCAGGCTGACTTGCTACTGGGATACAAGGCAGTAAAACCTCATCAGCCCTGAGTCCCAGCACTTAGTGAGGCTGCTGTAGGCACAGAGATCAAAGCAGCATTCAAGATTATGACAACCTGAGCTCATTCTGAGTAAAAAGGCTAGGGCCTTTTTTAAACAGATACTTTGAAATATACAGTGTTTTCAGTCACAGAAATGTAGAGTTGACATAATCAAGCTCGCCTAAAGCCTTGTTTCCTTTTCAGGTCTCAGGACTCATCCTTCAAGGTCCCTCCTGGCAGACTTCCCTTCTTTTGCGATGTTTCCCCACCATGACTGCTCTGAGCCAGATTTCCTCTGTGCTCCCACTGCAGTGCACTCATGTCAGTAAGCTGATGAGTAAGCAAGTACATGTGTGCACAAACTCACATAAACAAATACACACAAAGGCCCAAACACACAACTGTATGCAGTCATTTTGGTAATCATGTTTCCCATTTTAACTTCTACTTGTATTTTTCGTCTTCTTCAACACACACACACACACACGCAAACATTCAATAAGTGTTGATGGATAAAAACTAGAATTTTAACTAAAATAAAAGTAAAAACCAGCTAATGACCACAATTGACCACAGCTAATTCCCCCACCTCCTTCAAGTTTCTGATCTAAATACAGCCAACTTTAACCACTCTAATACAACTTGACCATGTGATCCCTAATTCCTTTCTATCCTCTTTATGTTATTTTATTTTCTATATCATTTGTCATACCTCCTCACATATCAGACATATTAATTAAGCTCATAGTTGATAATCTGATTTCCTCTCACTAGAATGTTAACTCTTTGAAGGCAGAAATCTTTGTCTCAGCTCCCAAAATAGGAGTAATAACTTAAATATCTGCCAGGTAACTGAAGACAGAATATTTTCTAAATGAGCCACAAAAATATCTGTCTAAAAAAAAAAAAATCCTCAGTTTTAGACCATCTAATCAATAAAACATCAAAAAATATCAAACACTGGCAAAAAACATATCTACAAGAAAAAAAAAAAATCCCCATGGGCTTATTCAAAGTGAGTGGCCTTAATTAGGATGATTTTCTAAAAAGCAAGAACTTAATTTGATCACAGACTAATTGAAACTGTTGATTCAAGTTCTTTTAATGTTCATAGAAAATAAAATTTAATTAAGCCCGAATTTGAATATCACAGTAACTTTCTATCCTCAGCTGTACCAATACTATTCACAAATTCAACATAATTAAAGCAAAGTTTATTGGGCTCAAATTCCAGTCTATGAAGATATGTGCAAACAATATGTGGTTAAGATATAGAATTTGGGACCTGAAGATACATGGGCAAGATGTACTTTTCCAATTACATTACAGATGTGTGTACTGTATCTATAGAGCATTATTACTAGTACATTTAACTCATTTTCCAAAAGCAATCATTACTTACACGTTAAGTGTGAGGGATCAAAAGGGTCAAAAGAAAATGAAAGAATGTTATCTGCATAGCTTTTTTTCCACAGTTTGGTGCCAGTATCTGCGTTCCAGAGCACAATGTAATTTGGTGGGTGGATGGCAAGCAGTAAATCTCGGGAAGCATCTTGATTCCACAACCACTGAACATCTGTAAAGGCCAGGTAAAGGAAACTCAGAAAACACCTACTTCAAAACATCTGGCGCACTTTTGATTGGTACTTGGTATTTTATTTAAATATAATCTTTAAAATATTAACTTCTCCCATGTGATGTATGTGCTTTTTTCAAGATTAAAGAGGAAAATAATTTTATATCAAAATAAGTTATCTGTGCTGGGTTCAGTGGCATGTCTGTCATCTCTGCTACTTCTGAGGGAAAGGCAGGAAGACTGGGAGTGTGAAGCCAGTCTAGGCAATTTAGTGAGAACCCCATCTCAAAATAAAAATATAAATAAAATCAAAAACACGTTTTAAGTGAATTCTTTGGTTAAAATCTCAAGTAATCTAAAATATAACTAAAGAAAACAAAAGGCAACTTAAAAGTCAGGGGCTGGAAGTATGGTTCAGTGGTAGAGCCCATACCAAGCATGCCCAAGGCCCTGGGTTGCTTCTCAGCACAGAGAGAAAAACGAATGAAAAAAAAAAAAAAAACCCACTATAAATCAGTATGTAACGGGGATTTAGCTCAGCGGTTTGGTGGCCTGCCTTGTAAGCGCAAGGACCCGAGTTCAATCCCCGGTACCAAAAAAAAAAAAAATCAGTATATAAGACTCTCTTAGCCATGACCAAGATGTCACACTCCCACATTTTGTGGAATTACATAATAAAACAATTCAATCTTTCATGATTTTTTCAAAATAATAAATCAAATTAAGATATAGCTTAGTACCTAGCATATAGTAAGTACTCAAATAAATACTTTTTAAATTGTCATGTAAAAATTCAATTAGTCAAGAGAGCGTCTCAAAGACTGGTGTCTAAAGAATAGAAATGATTAATCTATAGGAAAATGAGAATAAAGTTTTTGTTCATTTCTATTAATGTAAAGCAAGCACTGATAACCAATTCACAATAGCATTTCAAAAAATTTTTGCCATACCACAGCTTAGACTTTCAGACTGTTTGTAGTGGCTTAATTTTCTCAGCAGGCTTGACTAAGACTGATACTGAAGCTAATGATTTACCAAAGCACAATTTCAGGAAATATACCCAGAAGTGTACAGATAAGAAAAAGAAAGCTAGATTTAGATTATAAACATTTAACAGTTACATTGGAAATGGTGAAATTAAATCAATGGGGAGGGAGTCACTCCCAGAGTAAGTATATCAATAGAAGCCCTAGCAGAACACACTTTCCTCACCCTGGATAGGCTTGGCATGCTCTTGGATCTCACACTGAGCAACTCCTGCTGCCACATCCCAAACGATGATCTTCCCACTGACATCAGCAGAAGCTAAGCGCAAGCAATATGGTGAGCCAATGTTGTGGTGATAATTTTCCCTTGCCCATTTAACCTAGTATTAAAAAAAATTAGATCAAGTAAATACTTGCACTGGATAAAACTAAGATCATTATCACAAAACATCAACTAGATCCCACATTACATTTATATTATTGAACTTTTGGCATGAATAAAATGGAAACTCATTTTGAAATTAAATGTTTTATTAAAGTATTAAAAATATTGCAGGGCTGGGGATTTAGCTCAGCGGTTTGGTGGCCTGCCTTGCAAGCGCAAAGACCTGAGTTCAATCTCCGGTACCAAAAAAAAAACCAAAAAATAAAAATATTGCATTTAAAATATTTTTGAAAATACCACAATGCCCCTGCCTTTAAAATGTGAATATTGATGTATAATCTTAATATTTTGGGAAATTCAGGTTTAAAAAAAAAAGCCAACCTTTTGGTAAAAAATAACAAAATTTGGTTTAAAAAAACTAAAAAACAAAAAACTCCACAATATCTTAAAATGTAGTTTTCCTAAATGTAATTGTGACAAAATATTTAAAATCATAAAATTGCTAAGGAGAATATTTTTCTCTATTTTATCCTCATAATTAAAAGGAGATAACTTAGACACACACACACACACACACACACACACACATGCACAGGAAAACAAGCAAATAAAAAACTCAAGCTGTGCCTCTTTCATTAAAATAATTTTTTCCACGGCCGGGGATTTGGCTCAGTTGTTCCGGCGCCTGCCTCGCAAGCACAGGACCGGAATTCAATCCCCGGTACCAAAAAATAAAAAAAATTAAAAAAAAATAAAAAAATAATAATGATAATAATTTTTTCCTCCCCTTAAAAAAGTATGCTTCATGTCTTCATGTCTCCAACAACATTTAGAATTTTTTTGGTACTGGGGATTGAACTCAGAACCCTGCGCTTGTGAGGCAGGCAGCAGCACCACTGAGCTAAACCCGAAGCCTGATCTGATGTAATTTTTGACCAATGAATACTTGGAGTAAGACATAAGTCACACACTCCTTACCCTTCTTCTATCTCAGCATCCTGTTTATTTTCTTTAAAGCATTTATTATATAGGGTGTAATTATTTTACTGTTTTTTTAATTTATCATCAACCATGGATGGTCAGTTCTATAGGATAGATCACATTGGCTTTGTTCATGTTTTTAATCCCAGCCTAGTATAATGCTCAAAGATGTGTTTAGTTGGTTTAATAAATACCACAAAATCTTTAAACACACATATACATGCCAACATGTACATATATATAAGCATGCTCATCTACAATGCCACATGGAAAATACACTAACAGTATTTATGAAAAAAAATGCAAACAAAAATTTCCCCAACATCAATGTTACTAACTCTTAAGGTTTTTACCTTAATACTCTCCTCAGGAAAAAAATCATTTTAATAAATGTGAGAATATGTATCTGTATGTATGCATTCACATATGTATATACTTTAATGTGTGGATGGTTATGTGTATGTACACTATATAGTAAATTCTCATTATTTGCAGATTCTGCAAATATGAGTTTTCCTACTCACTAATATTTACTTGTAATCTCCAAAAGTATTTGCAGTGCATTGCCAGTAAAGCAGAGAGGTAAAAAACTTGAGACATCCAACTAAGGGCAAATGAGATATTCTTATTTCAGCTCTCATAGTGCACACAAGTGTCCATTTCACATCTATTTCATATGGTGTTTTTTGCGTTTTTGTGCTTTTTGTTGGTGACTTCAATGTTTGAAATGGCCAAAAGCCCAGTGTTGCCTACTGTTCCTGTAAAAAACTTAATATGCCTTACAGAGAAAATTTGCGTGAACGTTTAGCTAGGAGATTTGCTGTTGGCCATGAACTGAATGTTAATGAACCAACAATATATATTAGATAGACTTTAAACAGAAACACATATAAAACAAAGTTATATGTTGATCAGTTGAAGAAAATGCTGTGACCAGAGGCTCACAGGAACCTAAATGCTAGGAGGAAACAATTTTTCCATAGTCACTGATCCAGTATTTACAGTGAATTTATAGACTACACCTGCCTTAAATGACAAGAAATGGTGTACGCATCTGTGTGTATGTGTGTGTGTGTTAATTCCATTTACATAAACTACCAGAAGAGTATATATAAGGTAAAAAAGTCATCTCCACATCACAATCAAGCTGCTGAAAACCGAAGATGAGAAAATCTTGAAGGTACTCAAAGAAAGAAAAAAAAATTGCATACAAAGAAACCAAAAGATATGAGAATATCTTTCAAAAACAAAAGTAAAATACTTTCTCAGACAAATGAAGGTGAGAAAAATCAACCAAGATATGCACTTCAAGACCTTATAGTAGCAGGGCCTGGTGGTGCATGCTGGTAATCCCAGCACTTAGGAGGATGAAGTAGGCAGATCACCATGGAGGCCAGCCTGGGCTACAAAGTAAGTTCAAGGCTACCCTGAATTATAGAGTGAGAGCCTGTCTCAAAAAACTAAAAAGACCTTACAGTAAATCCTCAGGAAAAGAAAGTATAATCCCAATCTGAAACTTTACACAAAGAAGCCAAAGTTCCAGAAATGCCATGGTGGAAAAAAAAGAGACAAAGAAAGTAAATATATATGTTCATAAATAAAAAACTACATTGTCTTACATTGGACTTCATTAGGAAAGAATGAATGTTTCTCCCTAAACATTTAAGAACAAAATGAAGAGTATCCTATCATCACTCCCATCCATTACAACACAGGTTCTGACCAATGCCAGAAAATAAAAACAAAAAACTGAAATATCAATTATCAATAAAAAAAATCAAACTATAATAATTTTCAGGTGACAGGATTATTTATGCATAAAAATTCACCCCCAAATTACTAGCTTAATAAGTGAGTTTAGCAAGATCACAGGATACAGGTGAATATACAAATACAAAAATCAATTGTATTTTTCCCACCTCTTACCATACATAAAAATTAATTCAGAATGGATCAAAGATGCATATGAAAGAGCAAAACAGTAAAATTATTAAGAAAAAATAAATTGCATCGCATCAAGATTATTAACTTCTTCAAAGGATACCTTCAAGACAGTTTTCAGAAAACCCACAGATTGAGAAAATATTTGCAAAGTATAGGTCTGATAGAGGATAGTATTCATAATACAGAAAGAAACCTTACAACTCACTAAAAGGCAAACAACACAATTTTTAAATTAGCAAAGGATCTGAATGGGGCTTTAAATTGCATCGCATCAAGATTATTAACTTCTTCAAAGGATACCTTCAAGACAGTTTTCAGAAAACCCACAGATTGAGAAAATATTTGCAAAGTATAGGTCTGATAGAGGATAGTATTCATAATACAGAAAGAAACCTTACAACTCACTAAAAGGCAAACAACACAATTTTTAAATTAGCAAAGGATCTGAATGGGGCTTTTTCACAAGATGTTCCACAACATTAGTCATCAGGGAAATGCAAATCAAAACCACAAGGAGAAATCACTTCACACCCACTAGTATGGTTACAATCAAAGGATAGAGAACAATGAGTGTTGGTGATGATTTGCAGAAAATGGATCCTCATACACTGCTAACGAGAAAGTACAACTTGGAACACAGTCTGGTAGTTCCTCAAAAAGTTAAACAGTTACCATGACTCAGTAATTTCACTCTTAGCTATATATCCAAGAGAAATAAAAACATGAGCTCATATAAAAACTTATACAGAACAGCATTATTCATAACAGCCCAAACCAGGAGATACCCAAATTTTCATCAATAAAGTCAATGATAAATCCTTACAGTGGGATATTATTGAGCAATAAAAATGTAAGAGCCTCAATAAACGCCCCAACATCAGTAAACATTTTACTAAGCACAAAAAAGCCAGATATTTATTATATGATTACATTTACATGAAATTTCCAGAACAGGCAAATCTAGAGACGGAAAGGAGATTTATCGTTGCCAGGTGAAGGGAATGGGGAAATGGAAGGTGACTGCTACTGGGTACAGGCTATCTTTTGAAGGTGATGAGACTGATTAGTGATGGCTATTAAAATTCAAAGAACTGTGTGCTTTAAAGGGGTGAATTATATATATGGTCTATTTTAATAAAGCTATTATTAAAAAAAATTCCAAATGTCTATCTCCAATCCTGACCTCTCTGTTAAATGTCAGAGCATTATAATAAAATATATAAGCATCTCAAACTTTGCATGTTGAGAATTTAAACTCCCTGCCTTCATATGTATTCATCATAATTGCAAATACCGTTATTTGGTTACTCAAACAGAAACTTCAGAGTCCTTCTATTCTCTGACTCCCCTTTATATTGATCACATGAAGGCCCTTGGTGTACCTCTTACACGGCTCCTAAATATGATTCCTTTATGCCTCAGCCTTATCTTAAAACCTTAGAATTTCCTGCTAAAATTACTTCAAAAGTCTCCTAAATGATTCACTGCTTCTAGTCCTGCCTTTCTCCAAAGGATACTCTACTGCTGTCAAGAGGTTTTTAAAAATACAAATACAATTACATCAATCTTCTATGTAAACAGCTAAACTTCCCACTAGTCTTATAAAATTCTCAAGATAACAGTATCTCTTGGGCTGCCTCCTCTTTCATCAGTTTTACAAGTGCCATTTCTTAGCCATCTTTTACTTTACTTCTTAGATCTGTGTAAATTCTTCATTTTCTCTGCAAAAATTTTCCCTGATTTTTCATTTGGCTATTTACTAGTTCCTAAATGGAAAGATTTCTGTGTCCCTCCCCTCTAAAACTAGAGGACATGTAGCTCCTTTTTTCCTACACCACGTTGAATAAATCATACCATACTATAAATCCACCATAGGAGACAATGAATCGCCCAAGGGCTTTCATCTTTATATCCTTAGTACAGTATATGCTAAGTGCTCAAAAATAATGAAAGACTGAGTGGTCCAAAAAATGGCAGAATCGGCATGTTTTTCCACAGCTTTAACATGACCTAGGACTAGCATTTAATAACTCATCCTAAACTGACACTAAGTCACATACATGGAAATGCTAGGAAGCCCAAATAGGTTACTATACTTAAAAGCTATTCAAAAATGTGTAAATAAGGTTCCAATGGTATAATTGAGAGTGTGAAATAGGAAGAAAATGGCTAAAGGGGAAGTGGGAAGGGGAAAGGGAAGGGAAAGGAAATAAGGAAAAAGAAAAAATGTGAAAAAAAGAAATGGAAACAAAGTCTTTGTAAATAGGGAAGGGTGAAGGGGGTGAAGGGAGGGCAGGGTTATGGGGAAGAAACAAGTACCAAAACATATCATGTAAAGCTACAAGACCCCAATGATAAATGTAACTGCACTGTTTGCTTTAAATGTACCAATAAACTTAATGGGGGAAATAGCTATTCAACATGTATACCTATGATTTAATGAGAATCTAATGATGTACTCAATTTTAGATGGTGTGTTCTGGGGTCAAAATGAGATTGCACTTACCTTAACAACATCAGCTTTATGCTTTTCTAAAACCTGAAGAGTTTGGGCAGTACTGGAATCAATCACTACCACAAGCGAATGACATCCATAAGCAATTAAACCTTGCCAGCCCCTAGGAAAACAGCAACGTTAAAACTTAAACACAAAACAAAGCAAGTCTCGAGTGCTCTCTTGCCAATCTGAAATAAGGATAAATCAGATTCATACGTAACACCATTAATACAGTTATTATTTAAACCCAAAGGCTGATATGTAATAGTCTATTTAAATAAAAGATACAGCTAAGCTTACAAATACTTCTTGAAAATGTTTTAATGTGGGGTTAAAAAAAAAGTCTAAGAAATATACATGTTGAGCTATGAGAATGTATAAAATAACTTATGCTGATTGTAGGCATGTGCCATGTCTTATTTTTTAATTCAGCTCCCAGTTCTTAGAATCCACAATACGCCTAGGATAAGTATTTGTGACAAGGCCTAGTTCTTCTAAACCACTTAAAAAAAAATACACAAGACAGGAGATTTCAGTCTTCCTGGCAACATTCCCAGCGACATGGCTTCAGAATTTTGTTTTACATTAGCCTAATTATTACTTTATTCAATAATTATGTACAGTGGGAAGATAACGAGTAATAGGGATGATCTGTTGTGGACAGGAACGTCTTCCACAGGAGCCAGAATAAGATAAAGGCGAGGAAAGGTGAAAGAACAGGTAGATCCCTAGAACAGGGTCTGGCACGTTGTTGAATGAAAATAAGTGAGAAGAGGGATATGAGAAGGAGGGGGAAAGGATGAAAAAGAGAAAGAGGACAGAGACTAGTGAGTGGACGGAGAAAGCCTGGAGGCTGGAGAAGAGAATGCCATGGTAAAGGAATGAGGCGTAGAGGAAAAAAAAGAAAAAGAAAGAAGCACAGGAGAACGCCGGCTAAAGTATTTGCACGGTGACTTTTCCACATGGGCATTTGCTTCTTTTATAACGACAACAAAAATGACTCTTCTAACAGAAAATATAGTGGTAGAGTGAGGGCGGCACCCCGTCTTCGCAAGGCCAAACTAACCAGGGAGTGAAACCTCTTGTTCCCTCCCCTTTCCCTCACAAACTCCTGGCCGATCCTGCCAGCCTGGAGCCCTCACCAGTCCACCGCCGCCTTGTTGTGGCCGCTGAGGGCCCCCGTAAGGGTGCGCGCAGACACCTTGAAGTTCACGGTGTACGGTAACATCGCGGGGGCACCCGCCACCCTCGGTGGAGACCAGCAAGCAGGAAGCGGTGGATAAAGCACTTCCGTTCCAGAGTCCGGGTAGCCCCATAAGCGCGGCTGTCAGGTTCCGCCAGAGACGATGTTCCTCCATCCATAACTTCCCCCGCCCCTAGGTTCTGTTGCTTGCAGGTTCCACCGCTCGTGGGTTCCACCTTCTCCAGAATTCCGCAGGGCAGGTAATTCTAGGTTCTAGAAGAGGTACTGCCTTCAGTCATATCTCTTTTCGTCAGGTTGAGGAACAGATTGCTGGAAATTGTGAAAAGCAGAGGATAAATGTCCCAATTTTCTTCACTGCTTCTGATTAGTTATTTAGGACAATTACCAGTGTCAGGTATTGTACTCCCTGGAGATGAAGAATACACAAAGTCTCAGGAAATAAATGGATGAATGACATTAACTAAATAAAATAGAGAAAATTAGTGAAGTGAATGTTTCCAATGTAAACGATTTCCAAATACAGAGAGCACTCCATATCTGGTCTTGGCAATATTCCCCTGCACTTGAAAAGAAGTGCAGTGACCATATACCTGATTTGGAGCGCAAGCTTTCCTTTGTTGTTTCTCCTCCTTCGAGTTAGACCATTCCTTTCCTTCTTTGTAGTCAGAACTTGGTTTACTATACCATAGCACTTATTGCAGATATTTCTTTCCAGGGTTAACCTAAATAAACACAGTAAGAGACAGATTCTTCAAAGGACACTGATATCTTGGAATAGCAAAGCACCTCAATAGAAATATGCGAGTCATAGTAAACTGTAGAAATATTTAAAGAAGTTGAGGAAAAGGCAAAAATAAAGAACATTACATCAGGTATTTGGGAGCTATAATCATGAGTCACAGTTATTAATACCAAGAGTAGTGTCGGTCCGAGATTAAGCAGTTGCTGAACAGATTTCTTTCAGAAGTATTTTTTGTGTAAAGTTCTAGTGGCCTCTGTGAAAGCTTATAATTCTGGCAATCTTCTTGTAGTGGTTACTATCAGGCAACCATGCAATGCACCCTTTCTTTATAACCTGCAGGCATTATTTAAATTTTCCTTATTTATTTTTTACTAGAATAGACACAAGCAACTCTATGTTCATTTTGACAGTTTTAGATTGTTTCACATCAGCAGTGATATCCACAGATGTTTGTTTTCCCCCAATACATACTTCTTAGCTTTTTGATCAACAAAAGAGACAAAATATTGTTAATTTCTTCATGTTTATCTTATCACTCTTGGAAATTAGCTTTCTCAAAGATCACTTCAAATATCCTTTTTTTGGGGGGGATACCAGGGGTTGAACTCAGGTTCTTGCACTTGCAAGGCATACAGCTGAACCACTGAGCTAAATCCCCAGCCCCCAATATCCTCTTAGTTGATAAAGCCAATGAGTATATTTTAGTTCTTAATTGGAGACCAGCAACCAGTGAAAATAGTTATTGTTACTGCTTGCCTTTTTCTCCCTTGCCCCACATTCTTCCCTACTGATATTTTTAGAGCCATAACAGATGCTTAAAGTATATATCTGAATTTATGAATCCCTTATTAAAAATTCTTGAGGTCTCTTCTAATAGCAATTAATTGGCTTCCCAAATTCATTTCTCTTCTTTCATATGAACAGAACAGCAATTTTTATCTAGGTATATTGTCATTCCATTAAATGAGTACATTTATCCCCTTTCCTTACAACTGGGCCAAGCCATGAAACTAAATTCTTGCCAATTAAATGTAAGTGGAATTTTGTATAGTAATCTCTAAAAATCGCTTTTCTGTATTCTTCCTCTTTTTATTTAAATATTTACACCCTGCATTATTACATACAGATATTCCTGTCTCATTGAAGAGGCCAATACATTTTTAGGTAACCATAAATATAAGGGAACAAACATACTCTGGTGACGTAGAACTCCTTTCATAAATGAACCAAATCCTCTTCTTCCTTCCTAACTAGTACCTAGCACTCTTCTTATCCTCAATAAATAATTAATGATGCAGGGGTTTCAAATGCCGACTAAGCATAAAATCAAAGAGGCCCGAAGTGACAATAAGAATTCCATGTAGGAGCTTACAGATGACATGGGCAGCAGATAACCAGACTTCTAATCCTCCTGATCATAAAAATCCTCTTGGAAGAAGGATAATTAGTTTAGATCTATAAGCCACTTTGAGGATATGAATGCTGAATATTCAGAACATGAACCAGTGGGGGTTGGGATAGCAATATGTCTCCCACATTAAAAGAATGCACAATTAAGTAAGTTCATGCTTTTTTTTATGGCCTTCTGTGATGCATCTGTCTTGTCCAATGTGGAAGATAGACTATTGGACACACCAAACAGTCCATTTCTTTAATGGGGTCAGAAGTATACTCCTCTCTAATGGCTGAAAAACTACCATGCCTAATGTCTTGAATTCCAAAGCCAGGTAATCTGGGTTCAGACATCCTACCACCACGAAATCATACACATGCCTAAAACCGGACAAATTTCCCCCCTTTCTTTTAAAATTGGTAGAAATAAAAAAATATGTGACTGTCCAAGTCCTGTTCTGACTGGGTAGAGGAAAGCAGAAGAAATGGTGAAGAGATAAATAATACATATCCAAATAAGTAACAGAGAAACTTTCCAGGTCACTCAGAGACAGCATTGATAAATAGGCTTGAGCATGGGTAGATATACGGAAGATAAAGATAATGAGGTCAATACCCTATCACTGAGCAGTGACAAGATGCTGATTACTATAACAAACATTTTACCTGCATTATCTAATGTACTCAAAATAAGAACACTATTATCATAAATACCCTAAGTACAACAAATTCAAGAATTAGAGTTACCCAAAGTCAGATGGCTAAGGAAAAGGTACGTCCAGTGTTGGCCTGGAATCAGCGGGTGACACTGATATTCTCTTTTTTTACTTCTAATAGCGCATTTCCCTCCACCTCACAATCTATTCCTCAGCCCACATGGAACAAATTCCAGCTGCCTAGGAAGCTGAGATTTGAAAACAATGGCAGCTTTACTGAGGCATAACTCATGTACTATATAATTCATCTGCATATTTAGTAGTACAGTGTAGAGTATTTTAGTTTTGCAATCATCATCATAATCAATTTTAGAACATACATCACTTGCAAGAAAATCCTCATTAAAAAAAAAAGAAAATCCTTATACTCGTTAGCACTCACCACTTCCTCACTTTTCCATCACTGTCTCAGCCATAAGCTACCATAGATGTACTTTTAACCGCTATAGATTGGCCTTTTCTGACATTTCATATGAATGGATTCATTGATCTTTTGCGCCTGGCTTCTTCTACTTACTATAATGCTTTCAGGTTTCGCCCATGTTGTAGTGCATATCTTTACTTCATTTGTTTTTATTAATGAATAATATTTTTATATGCCACTTTTGTTTGTTCATTCATCAAGTTTATGGACATTCAAGTTTTTTTTCACTTTTTTGGCTATTATGAGTACATTACTGTAGTGCTGCTATGCACATTCCTATACATTTTCTGCGTGAACTTGTTTTATAATTTCTCTTGAGTATGTACCTAAGACTTGGACACTCCCCATGGCACTATTGAGAGTTAGTAGAGCTCCTAGGAGATGGGGCCTAAGGAGAGGTTTTAGGTCACGAGGAGGAGGCCTCCAAGAGAAGTGTGGCATCCTAGTCTCTTTCTCTCTTTGTGAACATGCCCATGAGTTGAAAGGTTTTGCCATGTACTGCCTTGCATGGGCCCAAAAGCAATAGGACCAAACAACCATGGACTAAAATATCTAAAAGTATGAACTGCAATAAACCTTTCCTCTTTATAAGCTTATTATCTGGTATTTGTAAGAAATGAAAGGTGACTGATAATGAATTGATTCTCCCTGTGATTCTGATTTGCATCTTCCTGGTGACTAATGACATTGAATGCCTTTTCGTGTACACACTGACCATTTGTGTATATGCTCCATAAATATACTCAGGCCTTTTGCCAATTTGCAATTGGCCTGTTTGTGTGTGTGTGTGTGTGTGTGTGTGTGTGTGTGTTTAATATTGAGTTATGTGTTAGTTTTTATTCTAAATTCAAGTTATTTTTCCAATAGATGATTTATAAAATATTTCTCCCGTCCTTGAGGTGGCATCATAGACTTTGAGCCACTCCATGAGCGGACATTCCCAGTGAGATGAGGACTGTGTTCAAGGTTTTATTCCCAAAACTGACAAATATAATGCTGGTTTGGTTGTGGCCTGATTGTGGAAAGAAAAAGGAAGATGATTCTGATGCTGAGGCACTGCATATAAGAACAGGGTACACTCCCTGAAATCATGAAGTCCGTCAAAGGGGAAGACAATGTTTTGTTTAAAAATATATTTTACTATTTTTACAGCATTTGCATATATTTTTGTTTTGATTTATTTTACCTGAAATTGTAAGATGTCAGGCAACTTTGGCACACTGCTGATGGTCCTGCTCAATGCCTTTCTGTGTGAAAATTTATGTGCACTTCACCATGTCCAGACATCATCCATGGAATCATGGAAAGTCGACCCTAGTAATAAATTAGAGAATAAATAAATCTTTAATTGTATAAAACAGAAGTCTCAAGAACAAAAACACAAAAATTGCTTTTTAAAGTAACCATATATCTTCTTAAAAATGCATAAATGAAGCCCGGGAATTTAGCTCAGAGGCACCGCTCTTGCCCTGTAAGCACAAGGTCCTGAGTTCAATCCCTGGAACCCGCCCCCACCAAAAAAGGCATAAATGAATTATTTTTGTGAGTTGAGTTTATACAATGAATAATTTTTACTCTCTTCTTTCCACCTGATAAGCTGATATAATCATTTGCAATATTTACAATATTTATCCTTTATTTTGTGGTATTTTTGAAATACAGAATTTTAATGCTTTTAATGGAAAAAATGCACTGCCCTTTCCCTTCAGCAAGACTTTCATCACTTGAATGCCAGACTACTATTTGACAAGAGTGTTTTATATTTGTTATAATAGCTCTGATTATAATCCAGCTGTCAGTCACAGAAGCTAATGGAAAAAC